TTGGGACTGTGCCTCCATTCGAGAGAGGCTCGTAGAAGCAAGCTAGCGGATGGAAATTCACAGACTCGTGTTAAACACTTTTCAACAATAGCATTAGGCCTTTCGTAATGGAATCTGTGTAGAAGGGGTTTATTTATGATATAGGAGTTCAGCTTGGTCTAGAGTGCACAAGCCTAGATGCATATTCGCACTGTCTCGCCTAATACTGCGAGTTGGCGATGCCATTTATTTGCACGATGGATGAGGTAGACCCATTCAATAAAGATCCGTTCTTTCTGACTGAGACAGAGGGCCGGAGTAGCGTCTCTAGAGGAAGGTCTCTGATTCTTCGGAATTTGAAGTATATCGTGCCATAGGTTTTAGACAACTCTAGCCTATCCAACAACATCATGATATTAGTCAGCGGCAATGGTCCATCACTGACAGCGTGTCCGAGTGGTTAAGGAGGTGGACTAGAAATCCACTGGGCTCTGCCCGCGCAGGTTCGAGTCCTGCCGCTGTCGTTATTTGAGTTGACCAACTGTCCCATTTAAGACTGGCTTGAAACTACCAACTACCAGACGCCCCGTGACGAATGTGATGATCCCATCTGCTCAAGACATGGCATAGTGGGGTGGTCAATTTACTCGAAGTTGGGAGAGGCAGTATTCGAAGAGGCTTCGAGTGATCACAATTCCTACATGTGTAGCTGAGAAAAGACGTTCTCTGAACACCAATTCAATACACCAATTCAATGAGCAATGAAGCAGGCCCGCTGAAATGGCTACGTCGTACGATAGTACACAATGAAGAAATCAAAGCATCATACCAATGCGATCAGATATTCACTGTACCAACGCGCTACTCTCAACCAACACTCGTACGCGATTATTAATCATGAGTCCGAAACCTCGTAAAGACTCAAACGCGTCTTGGACCATACATTCAGTCGACCCAGTTATTACATGCAAATTTGGTAAACTACTCGTTCGCAGCTGCATTCTATAACACTGTTCGCAGGGTCAATATTGTACCGGAAGAGTATGTGTGTACTCCTATACGAGGCTACCCTACACCACCACACAGGCCCTGTGGCGCAACGGTAGCGCATCTGACTCCAGATCAGAAGGTTGTCCGTTCGAATCGGGCCGGGGTCATATTACAGACTTGGGAATTTGCGTGGGAGCATGGTACTGTACTACACTGCCGAAGTAATTAGACATCATCGAATCGGCTGCATGTGCATTCTGAGTCAGCATTTCTGACAGAGATTCTAGAAGTAATTGGAGACGGTTTATGATTCTCTCAAAACGTTAGCTGCATAGTGCAGCCAAGTTGGCTGAGCCAACAGAAGGTCCCAGTTGGAACAGTTTGAAGCTTTTTCGCGCATCCATACGGACAACAAAATCAGTATTTGGTTTGACTTGAAACATAGTTCTTCAAAAACATGGAAATAAAACTCATCCGTCAGCTGCGAATGCCATCAAAACAGTCCTTCGACTTTTCCGGTGGACGGATCGATGTCGACCTGAAGCATTGGGTCTAACCGAACGAGAAGGAACATTCGTATACGTCATAGAAGCATGGGCGTGTGGGGAGACCGGGCATTGTCATGATGGGCCCAAGAAGGGGATAGATGAATCCAGCGCCTGCATGGAAGTTTCATTCAGGGAAAGTATGGACAGGTCCACATCGTCCCACCAGCGGCAGCACGACAGCTCTTCACTTTTATGGTGAATCCGGTAGGTCTTCCACGCAGAGTGGCGTCCGCCGATAAGGAGTATCTACAGTCATTCCACGACCAAGTTCGAGACCAAATGAGACGCGCGATTACTGGGTCTTGGCCATACAGATCGGGAGCTTGCCGAGGCCAGCTTTCTCAAAACGCTCTATCGCCAAGTCTGCCGCCTGAAGTAAAGCTGCTATCACGGGGCACCGAGTAAAGGCTTTCGCACTTCTTCATACTCTACCGCCACAGCACCGTAGATCTTCATACAGATAGCAGAAATCTTGCCCTTGATCGAGATGTCCAAAGGATAACTGAAAGTACAAAGTCGCGAGGAAATATCATTCGACGACCTTACGCGAACTTGAAATCCGACCTGACGTTCTCGCAGACCTCGGTGAGCTTCCTGGCGATGTCAACAGCTCCCTCGCCACCGCGGGCCCAGTGATCCGAAACCACAGCTGCTGCAGCGCCACTTTTTAGGGCGTCATCAACTATTAAGAGAGAAACAAAGGGATCGTCGGTCATCAATTCCGACCGCTACCAATCAACTTCAACTCAGCATCAGAATCCGTATTCACCTTGTTCACACACACGACCACTGGAACCTAATAATACAAGTGCTCGACGGAACAGATTTAAGAGGACTCCTCTCAGAGGAGTTTACCCCAAATTGGTTTCCAATATCAATATGGGCCTGGAGGTTGCCAAGACCCTTCTGAACTAGATCAAGTCGCTCTGTTGTGTACCTGAGAAACAATTGTTTCATCAAAACCACAAAACCGATCATCAACTCACGCGTCGTCCATCTTCTTCCCAGCCACCACTGCCGGGCCGCCACCATGGCTCTTCAAGGCACGAGCAGTAGTAACGAGGACCTACACCACCACGCCTAGCGCCAAGCTCAGCCGCTTCTAGAGACCTACGATGGCATCCGGGCGGAGTCCACTGTAGCGGCATTTGATGTCCATAAATTTCTCCATCCCGATGTCCGACCCAAAGCCGGCCTCGGTCAGAACCTAAATGCAGCAACGAACTGAATGGCATACTGCGATGATAACCTTACATATCCATCTTGCCCGACGAGTTTCAATGCGACCTGATCAGCAACGATCGAGGAGTTGCCATGGGCGATGTTGGCGAACGGGCCCGCATGGACCTGAGGGAAGGAAGGCCATCATACAACGGTGAGAGATGGCACTGCAAGGTCGTACGAAAACTGGTGTTCCCTCGAGGGTCTGCATAAGAGTAGGGTTGATAGTGTCTTTCAAAAGCACCGTCATTGCCCCCGCAACCCCAAGGTCGTCTGCCGTCACAGGGTTGCCCGCCTTACTGTAGGCAACGACCTGATGGTAATAGTGATCTCACACTGGCACAGTTGTGCTGTACCATCCTCCTCAGTCTGTCTCTCATGTCCTCCAGACTAGTCGCCAGTGCGAGGATAGCCATGCACTCGCTGCCTGAGCTCGCTATCTATCCCCTCCCAATATAGGGATCTTACTAACAGCAATATCCACTTGGGTTTCCCTAGTATAGCCTTTCTCATTGGGTCCTTGACCGATCGTTATCTTGCGGAGCATACGGTCGTTAACGTCAACAACTCGATTCACCTGTAGAGCGGACGAATTCAATACCCAATGTGGAGAAATCTGCACATGGTCAACTACGTGTGTTGGTAACAATATGGTGAAAATTCTGAGAAAATTTCGGAAAAGCCTTGTAGGTTTCTGAGCGCTTATAGCCGAACTCGTGCATAAAACCGTAAAAATATGAGGAAACTCCAGGGCTAAGCTGAGAAAAGCGAACATATATTCCACCACTACCAACAGTACCCACCATAATGGTATCGGGATCGATGTCCAGACGGACCAAGCGGCCAACACCCTCCTCATCCAGCTGGTCCACATCTGTAGGCAACCCCAAACGCTCTAGACGACGAAGTATAGACGCCGAAACCTTGCGGGTGCCGCCTTTCATTATCGGGCAAATACCTGCGAGTGGCTGTACCGACATAATATAGCGGGGAACGGCCAGGTTACGATCAAAGAGGGCCTTATCAGACTGAGTGTTCTCGTGGAATATCCTCGTGTCCAGCTGAGCCACCAAAAGGTTATTGGCGATCGAGATAGCGTGTATGTCACCTAATAGGAGTCCACTCGGAACTGACCTCGCAAGGAGGACCCCTTACCAGTGAGGTGAAGGTTGAAGTCGTCCATTGGTATGACCTGCGAGTAGCCCCCTCCCGCGGCCCCTCCTTTGATACCAAAAGTAGGGCCCATCGAGGGTTGACGGATGCAGGTAAAAACCTAAACGACGACGGCACTGGGATGGGGCGTTAGGCCGGGTTATACTTTTTTCCCCAAGTGCGCCCCAAGGCTTTGACTGATCCCCACGGTACAAGTACTCTTCCCCTCCCCGAGTGGGGTCGGTGTCACTCCAGCCACAACAACATACCTGCGATTCACCACCGACTAGCCCCGCGGTCGAGAGGGATCCTAACGACGTACTTTCCATTCGGCTTGTTAGCCAGACGCTCTCGGACAGACAGGTTGATCTTGGCGGCGTACTTGCCGTAGCAATCATAATCTTCATCGTCGAGACCCAGCGACTCGCAAACGCTGCGGATGTGAACCGGGGCCACCTGCAGGTACCATTAGCATTGGAATATATGTTCGCTTTCCTCAGCTGAGGTCGGGACTCCCGACTCGGGAGTTCTCTCACTAATTATAGAAGTTTACATACAAGAAACCAACAAGTATCTGCCGAAATTTCCACAGAATTTTCCTATTGTCACCAACGCATGTGGTTGACTATGTGCATATTCTCCCCCCACACTGCACCGTGGTTTACACTCTGAGCTATGTCGATGTCCGACGGCACTGGGGATTGGATTGAGCCTTCAGCCAGGGGCCTCGGTAACAGGACTGTAGCAGGAGTCATCACGCGACAATTATATATGTCGAAAAGACTAAAAGATCCGATAGGGCAACCAAGGTAACATGCAGTTCCTAAAGATTCAATTCTCCATTACCAAACAGTATACTTCCCGAGTATACGGGCCCGATTAAGTACATGAACAGCCGACACAAAGTAGTGGCGCCAAGTGATGAGGAGCTCAAGAAATCAAGATCAGGAAATTGTCACTAAATTTACACTCAAGTGGGTCGTCTACAGCTCTCGTAGTCTGAGAGTCTAGCCTTCAGCCGTTGGTTCTCTCGGGCCAGGATGCTCATCTGTTCTCGATAGAACTCGAGTTTAGCACCACCCAACTTGGACGACTGGCTGACGGCGCGTGCTAGGACCGAATCGTGCCCGCTGGCGTCACGGCGCCGCTCTCTCATCGCCTGAAATTCAACACATGCGCATGCGTGCAGATCCGTCACAAGGCCGGAGACCTTTACTTCTATATCGGCCTTCAACCGGGAGTTCTCAGCTTTGCACTGCTCGACCTGAGCACGGGCGGTCTCTAGCTGGTCCGCTAGTAGCCGGCGTTGGTTGTTGAGGACCATCTGGCTCTCGCTAAGGGAACTCACCTGACCATACGCTATCTGCATGCCTACACAACTGAGCGCAGTGAGAATGATTTCTCACTTGTTGCTCTAATGCAGCCTTGTCCCGCCTGACAGTGTTGAGCTCTGCATAGAGGCCAGGTAGCTCTGCGCTGTCCGAGCGGCCCCGTTGTTGTTGATTGCCCGAGTTTCCGCTGTCATCAGGGCTCGACGACGGCGAAGACGGGCCCACCCCCACGGCATTGCGATCCGACCCAGCCGTCGGGGACGTGATCCTTCGGTCATTGCGATCTCCTGAAAATGATGGAATGTGCCTTAGGGACTTCACAGACCTACTATAAGGTGCATAGAGCTCTTCATAAGCCCTCACAGATTCCGAGTATAAGCGGAGTATATCCTCCTGGCTGGGCTCTAGCTGCACCACACGGTCGGGGATGAGGCCCATTTTCTGTCGAAGCCGAAAGTTGTCCAGAAGCTCCTCAACAGACAGGTTGGCGGTGACCAAGGGCCGACCAGTATCCGCTGCATTTGGAAGAGGCAGTCTTTTGTCATTGTCCATCAGTAAAGTTGACTGAGAAATTCCTAACCGTTGAACACAATTTCTAGTCGATTGAAATCAAACAAATCACTGCGGCAGCACTTGGTCTCGGAATACAGGCGGGGCAATGAACCGGCTTGATTGGACAGGAATTCACTCGACGAGTACCTGCTAGGAAACACATGCTCCTGCACACGCTGCGAGAAGACCTCACGTTATAGATAAAGTGTGATATGCTACATTCCATGATACCAGCATCAGTCGTGGAACCTTATAAACGAGGACGTCAGCGTTGACAACGCCATCATGGACTCACTGGGGGATGGCTCATTTATCGTTACTTCTTCTATGACACTGCTCCTCTTGTCGTCCACCTTTCACCGACTTCCCCGGGACTGCATCAGCGGTGGAGGTGGTGGTAGATTATCATAATCATCACCGAGCACGAAGAGCCTCATCAAGCGCTCTGACGTGCTCATACACGTAACATCGATATTTAATTGGGGTTCCTCCGCATCAACAAAGCTGGACACCGTTACAAAATCATCAGAGTCCTTACGGCATTCAGTTATCACTCTGTCGTCAACTCCACCATCCTCCACCACTGCTGTAGAGCAACAGCACGGCTGAACCAAACCATCTCCCTCTCCTCCTTCTACTATCACCCTCTCACACATAGAGCCCTCACCCGAGCCAAGAAGTACATCATCGCAGATCGTTTCCGCGATACCACCAACAACCTCTGTAGCCGCAAGCATGTTGTTATGCTCATCACCCTTCCCTGCTGGCACAACTGCCCTCTTATCGTTCAGCGAATACTCGACGTCAACACTGCTGGAGACCTCCTGCTGGTCGCCAAGGGTCGCAGCATCGACATCAATGGCGTCGTACTCGAATGCCATCACCCTCTCCTCCAACGCACATTGGTCTATATGATCAGTATAATAGCATTCATCATCACAAGCATCTTCCATCCACTTCCTTCTATACCACACATCTCGCCTCTGCTCTGAACCCTCCGGATCACAATGGACGACATCATCTACCACTTCTTGCCCTACCGAGTCGCTAGCCTTATAATAGTCCCTTCGAGATGGCCAAAGGTTCCCTCGGGCGGCCAGGCTCCTAGGCGATAGGTCCTCCTCCTCCTTCCACTCCTCCCTGCGTTGGGAATAGTCAAGGATTGGTGCCGGCCTGCCATAGATGGAGCCGTAGTAGCCAGCCTCAATAGCAGCTATCTCAGCCTGAGCACCGGGCGTGTATTGGCTCCAATGCCGCTCTCGCCATGATTTCTCCGCTACAGTAGCAGTCGACTGTGGCAGGGGTGGAGTATAAGGTGTGTGAGCCGGCCCACCATCCTCACTAGGGAACGGTATTGTCGGGGTAGCTCGCAGTTTGACAGAGCTAGCACTAGTACTTGTGCTATGGATAACCGTCGGGGGCAGCCGATGCTCACTTTTCTTCTCAACGTAAGTGATTTCCTTCACCAACTCGACCAGCTGCTCCACCAGATCATCCCGACGTCGATTCAGCTCACCGACCCTCCCCGCGTCACCACCGGACTCAGTTGACGCACCATCGCGGTAGCGGCTTTCAGATCTCCTCCTATGCCTCCTCCTTCTCGAGGACTGTCGATGCTCTGCTACTCCACGAGCCATATCCTTACCACCCTTAGGGCTCCTCTGGCTGCCTTCCACCGAGCCCTGCCTCCTCCTATGGTGTCGATGTTGTTCCCCTCGACTACAACGAGATCGTCTCCTCTCCCGATGTCCACCCGAACCATCACGGCCACCATGGCGATCCCGTCGTCCATGGTGGCCGCGAGGACGGTCACCACTGGCTCCATGCTCGTGGTCACTACCGACCCTCAATCGACGACGCTGATGACTATGATTACGATGCAATTTCTTGTGGTCATCGCGATCTCGCCTCTCCCGCCGCTCATCCCGTCGACGATGATGACTATGATGACGGGAACTCTTTCGATAGCTACCATGCGAATGACGACTGCTACTCCTCCTCCTACCTCGATGCTTGTGGTCGTGATTAGACTCATCCCGCTCGTCATAACTTTCGTCTCTTCGTCGTTGCCATTGCCACTCCAATTCACTCCGACCACCACCAGAGTTTCCAATCGGACCCTCCCTCACTGTCCGCTCACTATATCTCGCAGACGACGAATCTCCATTATCGTGGTTGCTCCTTCCACCACAAACTCCCTCCTCATGGATCGTTTCTTGACAGCGCCCTCCTGAGTACGCACCGTCCCGAGGCCAAGCACCGGACACAGCTTGCTCCTGCTGCTGCCAAGAGTGAGCACGTTGAGAGTAATACGACCCAGTACACTGGACGTTGTCGTAACAGTGGGGACTAGAGCATTGCTCATCAAGACCATCTTGGTCATTCGCCCACCTGGTGTCGATGTAGTATTCACCATCATCACAAGCCTGAGGCTCTACACCCTGGGAGTAGACGTGGTCGTAGCCATGACCATTTTCACAATCGTCATACCACCCACCATCCATGGGCTCAACACCGTATGCGGTACTCGAGCTATAAGTCACAGTCTCGCTGGGGCCAGCACGACCGCTATGAGGCTGCGGTGGTCCTCCACGGGTCCTGTCGGCGTGGTAGCCGGACTTCCTCTCTAGCCAGTACTGTCCCCGTAATACTCGTGGACAGTAGATATTGGGAGGGGCGTAAGACGGCCCTGATGGCCTGCTCGGGAAAGGGGCCATAGTCAGTGACCAGCAAACAAGCTCTAGTCATTAAAACCAAACTTCTCAACCTAAGCCAGCCCTTCCGGAAGGCATAGACTCATCGATTTCAACACAAGAAGAAATACAGTTTTTTTCCATGTCGCCAAGAGTGAGGGTCTCTCGGCATATTTTCAGTCGGACATTCGCGAGAAGCACTTCTATTACTGAACTCGACGCAGATGGCAGAACAAGCAGACCGACAACAAATAGTCATAGCAAGCTACTCTAGAACAAGTGTGACAACTGTTTGAACATCTTGAACCGGAAAGGAGGGAAATGCTCACGATTCGGCAACTTGATCTCCTCGACCAAATCAGGCGGGGGATCTGCAGGGCGAATATGAAAAAAGGCGGAGCGAAGCAACGCGAGTACTCAATCCGTCGAGGATGGAATTGTCCTCTTCTGGAAAATCGTCATCCATCTGCTCGAGGTCTCGAAGAACATCAGCCAACACGACATTTCCATCTGAAAAACCGTAAAGGTGAATACACTCAGTGGCAATAAGGCTGGTCCCACCAATACGGGCATTAGCCCTCCTGAGCTGGGTCAGCAGGAGCTCCCGTCGGACTGTACGCTCATCCGCAAGCCTCTCGACCAGGGCCCGCCTCGACCAGTAACGATAGCTGATGAAGATGGTGTGTGATATTTGGGGTACTACTCACCTTTGCCATTTCAGTCGATAACCCGGCCTGGTCTTGGCGGCTTCCACGCCCAACGACCCAACCCATCGCTCATCGCCATCAATGAATGAGAACTCCACCACACTCTAAAAACATCGTACAATCATAGTAGTTTTCAAGGGCGTCACTCACCTTGTCGCCCTCTGGATAACTCCATTTGCATTCCGCGACACCGTCGATGATCTTCTGTTGTCGGCTGGAAGTCACTCCAACGAACCCACGATCGACATCATAGTCCCGGAGCAACTAGAGAAAGTATCTCCACAATGGGGCGTATATGCTCACATCGATAGCGTCCTTCACTGGCTTGTTCGCCGCCTTGGCTATCTCCAGATTCCTCACTACAGCATCGGGTAGGCCTCTGAACAGAAGAACATATTCTTCTAATAATTTCTACTTCATTGCAATTAGTCTTAACAGGGCTTACGAGTTCGAGTGCTTCGATTGGAGCTGAGACTGCGTTGGTAGCTGGGCCGGCTCACAACGTAGCATCAAGAGCTTGCCGGAAGGGAGGAACCTGATAGAAGCCAACATCGAGCACCATGACCACGAGCCACTGCTTAGTACCTCAAGAGACGGTAGTAGGTGACCACCAGACGTCTACGGTTGTCGGTTAGAGAGGCTCCCTCTTGGATCCGCCTGGTGTATTGGCATTTGGAGATGTACATGCCGTCGTAGCGGACTCCACTGCGGTACATGCACTGTTGACGACCCTCGATGGGATCCTCGATCTCTGGGATGATGATGAGAGTGATTTCCAATACCACTCCTTTGCCACATCGTACTCGAATAACGCATCCACACTGAGCTCTGCCTTGACGCCGTGTAGAGGGCGGCGCACACTGTGCTGACTCTCTCAAGGGAAGGAACGTCGAGGAACCTTCACACAGACGGCGATGAAGCCGCAGGCATCTCGTCGAGATTCAGCCGTGATTTACATTATGATCGATATCAAGGGTACTCACAGTCTCAACTACGAGACGAATACTCCAACGTCATTTTCTCCGACGTGATGAGCACTTCCACAGAGTTCGAAATCCATCTAGAACGGAAGATGATTTTGGTCCACTTCTCGAGACCTCTATGAATCCCAAAGTCTGGCCTCCTTGATAATTTTCATCAACCAGAAATGCAAAATAAGAGAAACCACGAGCCAGGTTGACGTACGACAAGGGGCCCTGCAGCATTTCAAAGGGCAAGTCTAGAATCCTATCGACCCTCGAGGTCCTAGTAGCGACCATACCACTCCCTGCAGTAGAGGAGGAGCTTCGGGAGCGGATCACAACACCGGTGATTCGTGGCTGTAACCTGACCATTAGCACGGATGGCCGTAGCCTTGTGGAGCCCTACAACCTACGCAGAGCTGGCAGTAGCGAACACATCAGTCCCCTCCTCCTCCTCTTCTTCCTTTCCTTCTTCATCATCATTCAATGGGCTAGAAGCTGACATCAGTGCAATCACTCCGCTGTCTCCTTATCTTCGTAGATTCGCAAAAGGGCGGACGGCCAGAAGAGAACGGCCATGAAAAATCAACTTCAACCACCGAGTATACCAACCGCTGGTGTTTCCCTGCTCTTAAGACTGACCCAAGACTTAGCACGAGTAGGAGCGTCACCACACCAAAGGAAACGCTGGTAGTTAAAAGCCACAAAGTCGATGCCGGGGAGGAGTATACTCCAAAACCGGCTGACAATCACAGCGGTGTGCACCCTTGTCGTGAAAGGAACATCAATAGCTGACCACGCCCCGTGGTGATGCCTTACTCGACCGGGTCGAGCCGACCCTGCTACTACCTCCTATTAATGAAAGCTATAACCCAACACCTCAACCATCGACCACCGTGAGACATGGCAACTCATCAACGTACCCAACCCGCCTCTAGCAAGGCCCTCAACGCTTTCTCTTCGCCCACTACACGGTCGCTCAGTCTAGAGGAGGAAATTCCATAAAGCCGGAGTAGAGGGGCCTCCTACCCGTGTCCAACCCTGAGCATTTGCGCCTCGCCCTTACCATTCACAGCCGTCCACAGCTGCCTCTGGGTCGGATTGCTGGATAAAGCCACACAGCCTCCCTCCATCTCAAGTGCCACTACCGGCACGCATGGACCAGGCCTCGCGAGGTCATAAAAGACCACACCGCCGGCCCCTCCTCGCTCAGTAACGAGGGCCACCCCGAGCACAGCCGGACGGCTACAGGACCAACTGATCGAGGTAACGGAAGGAGTACCCTCCCCTGTAGCTCCCATGAAAGGCCATATTGTCAATACTGCGGTCCCGACCAAGCCCTAAAACTGCCAGTAGGCTCGTCATACCACACCCCACCCACATTGAAGATCATAACCTTGCCATCAGCCCCTCCAGTAGCATAGGCCCTCGATACAAAAGGGGAGAAGGCTACTGTTGTGACCGGCGTGGAGAGGGTGTGGCCCTGGCATGCTGAGGACTTCCCTGGGGCCGGATATGTCAACGAGCTCGGCGGCTGGGACCTGATTGTGGACCTCCAAGCAGTATAGCCTTCCCACAGTCTGCTGGTTCTTCATACTACAAAACGGGTAACAGAAAATTCCTTAAAAAATGGTGTAGGTTCGGTCTCAACGCTTCCTACAGCCACCGACCCGTAAATGATCTCTGATGTGATCTGGGTAATGCCCTGCAGGGCACAGTAAGCCTCGACATGCATGACCAACTTCTGTCGGCCTTCCTCCGGCACTCCCCTCAATACACCCATGGCGTCACTCTTCCACGTATATCTATGGAGCATTAACATGGCGCTGTAGGGTGAGAGACCCTCACTGTGAGCTAACATGCATTTGCTCTCTCGTGAATAAGTCATTCAGCCTCAGAGGAATCCCTACCCAAAAAAGGTCCCAAGTTCGATCCCGGCACCCGACACCTACTGGCCACACTACCAGCCTCTCCACCAACAATACAATGCGTAAGAGCAGCATCATCAGCGATAGGAGCCGCCATACTTCGGCAACCTAGTGACCATCCCATCTCCATCGCCGCTGATCACGATGGTCACCTTCCAGCATGCTGTCACGGTCCATCCACCGATTAGCCTTCTTCCGAGGTATGACGAACCCCGTCACAGGGACCGGATGGCCATGCCCCCCGCCTCGTGCCCATGGGTCCCACACGAGGCATTTACCGTCAGTACTCGATGCACAGAGGAGCATGTCCAAGTCCGATACCCTACTAGGGGTGGCTGCCGCCCATAGCCGAACCATAGCGAGGCTACATGTGGCCATCAAGGGATCGAGGCAACCACTGGAGGCTATAGACACCTTCCCCGAGGCCATACTTCCGATCAGCTACCGTCCGGAAAACCTGAACTTGGAGTTCTCAATGTCACAACCCCGTAGATGAGGGTATCATCGAATAGCAGCCCGCAGCGGGGCAGTCTCCTGCGTCGGCATACCAAGGCATCCGATATCAACTCCGTCTTATCTCCCAACACCTTTCCTTGCTCCTGCATACTCTCACCAGACCTACTCCAATGTCATGCTGAGCCCTACACAGAGACTACCTTTCCAAATCCCATACGTAGACCTGACCATAGCTAGTACCCGCCGCCAGCACCGAGGGCCGGTGTGGGTGAATGGACACTGAGGTGGCCTGAGGACACCTCCCAAAATCCACCTCCCCTTCCCTACACTTCCAAAAATTTCCAACTCCCTCGAGGGAATCAACGCTCCTTTAGAGTTATCATCATGTCGGAAAGGCCGCCAGACCACGATATGATGCTGAACACCTCATCACATTCTGCTTCGCTCCGCCTTCTTCCATTACTGTATCCTTTCCAGCACCCCATCCACCACGCTGCTCACGAAATCCCAGCCCTCCCGCAAGGACCAAACCATTCCCCGACCAACATATGCAAGTACCTGTCATCACGGGCTCCAACACCCCCAACAATAAGAGGACGGAGCGGCCCTCTTTTACATTTATCAATGCCGCTTTCAGCGAGCGAGTGGTCAGACATCAACATTCTGTTGGCGAACCGCCTCACCACCTCCACCGTTTCATGACCATACTCAACCTCACCAACGCCACTAGCTGTGATGACAGGGTCAACCTGTTCCAAGCAGACACCGCGCACAGCGAAGATTCCACCAAGACTACCGAGATGCCGCCAAAACCAACACCCGAAGACGCCTTAGTGAGTTCCTCCAGCATATGAGGGGTCACTTTCCTAGAAGTAGCTCAGTGATCTCTGTCACGCGCCATGAAATTCACTTGAGAAAGGCCAGGATCTCCCCTTCTGTTGGATGTATAGGATCTTCTGGGATCAGATCAACCTCAGAAATTTGCGCCTGAAGCACTCAGAGAGGATATACACTTCATCATAAATTCACACAACTCAAGTGAGAAACCAGTAAGCAAGTGAAGTCAGCCACTAACCCACACCGTCTTTAAGATCAGCGCTTGCCTACCGAGAAATTCGACGTGTTCCTCACTTGCACTCGAACATTGCGAACCTGCAAAGAATATCAGCGCTCGCCCAGCCAACCACTCTAGTAGCCCACCACAAATACGACCACTATGGAACCGCTACAAAGTCCGACCGACATTATAAGGAGTGCTCTGTATTCTAACATTGCGACGCTCCGTTGGTCTAGTCTTGGATGGAGGGATACTGACTGTGGGTAAACTGCATGACGAGAGTGACAACATCAGGAATATGGCTGTGGCTACTGCCCTGCTAACCCGCTGCTATAGATTCACCACGATCTGGGACAATTGCTGCAACTCATATAGGCTAGGACTATAACTACAACGCAAAACTCCTCCTGTGTGAAAGTTGAAGTAACACACCATGCAGTAGTATACCACCTACATTGACGTAGTGGGAGGGTGATGGAAGGACGGGACTCCGTTCAGAGCTGCTGATCAAACATCTCCAACAGGCCCATACAAGGGAGCATCTGTTGCTCTGTGAGGACCTCAGCGGTAATCCTAGAGTTGATATGACCCAATGCCTTCACCACTTTTTCATTACGACCAGCAAACACCCAATACGAATTGTTCGAAATACATCCAGCATCCACAGAGAATAGCGACATTCTTCTGGAAGTGATGCGATCATTGTCTGAATCCTACAGAGAGGCGGGGATGCTTGCACATCTTCCATACCCCACCATCGCTACTTTATACCTCTACTGCCGCTAAATGCGATATCATAGCGATCTCTATCTGACATTTTCGTCTTCAGTTTTCAACCGTACCGCATGACCTTTCTCATTTATAGCGCCTTCCGATCCCTACTACTACTACTACTACTACTACTACTACTACTTGTCCCGATCCATCCCCCGTCGCTATGAGCTTGCGATCATCCCGAAATGCAACGACGTCGTGAAGCCTTCATGCTTCGACCACAGCATGTCCGCCACAGAAGCCTTAACAGTCGGTCTATGACCGTTCGGCAGTGTTGCTCTGCCAGTGTGAGGAGTTCCATCCGAGTACCATGGGTGGCATCCACTTGCCGCCTACTAACAGGGCTATACGCAACACTGGTCATATCGGAGTCTCTGGTACCTACGATGACCAACCTAAGTGGCCCCATCGGGCAAGACTGTACTGATCATCGGCCATGACGAATGAGAACACAACTCCACAAGAGTGTGGATGCAAAGTATAATCTTAATTTGTTATTACATGCCATGTTCTACACTGCAACGGTTTCACTCTTGGCGAGCGAGTGTATATACAAATCTTTACAGTGAGAAATGGCGATTGAAACGGTCCTTAATAACGAGCAATACATGATACAGCAATCACGTTCTTCTGCTCTCAGGCTACTGCCCTTGATTAAAGTGAGAAATGGCGAGGACAAGGCTGACCTATTCTCGGCCTTAAGAGCATGCTTATACTTCGGAAGTATTGCATCCTGTAAAAGGCCTCAGTTTTGATCTTGACAGCTCCCGCTGCGATTGGCCGAGGGATGGGATCAAGTTTGGTGAATTCCATCACCCTGATGGGATGAACAATGGTCATTGACGCAACGAGTCTAGGGAGCGTTGAGGAAGTGCACGATTTTCCAAGACATGCAAGATATGATTCCCACTACTACTGGCATCTTAGGGCGTCTCCCACCACTATTAGTGATTAAGGACAGGCAGTTTAGTGACACCGTCTGTCTATGCCGTCTTGCTCAGCACAAACTGGACATTCCACACCATTCGGTTGCTGCCTATAGATTAACAGACTGTCGAAGGACAAATTGGATAAGGGAATAAAGTGTCGGGAGGTGACTTTAGGATTTACACTAGGATAGACACTCACTTTAGTGTAACCCCATTCCCTAGCAACATCGAGTGCAACTCGTGCGGTTTTATGTCGGTATCTCTAATTGATATGGTTCATGGAGTTGCAGTTAGGAGTGAACGAAGCCTTCGTTACGAAGGACCTTACTATAAACCGTGTTCCATTCAAGTACCCAGCACCTTCACTCCAGCAGTAACACAACCAACCACGAAGATCCAACATCAACCTCATGACAACAGATGAATCAATTGATGATGTCTCACGTGTCTACTTGTTAAAGTAATGTACATAGATGTGACAGTCGTCTCTCTCTGAATGCCAATGATATACACCAGCCGAGGGGCGTTCGGGACTCACTAATCTTTCGAAAATGCAAGCTGTGAAAAAGCCTTCTAGCATGTTTGTTAGTATCCGCGACAAGGGCCCATACCGCTGCTAGGTTGGGGTACAGACGTCTCAACTGCAGAGGAAAAGGAGCAGCTCCTACCTGTATAACCTGGAAAACCCGAAAGCATACCTCTCGAATCCCCTCTGATACTAATGTTGTGCCTATACGTTTCCCCTCCCATCCTTTAGAGACCTCAACCCAGGCAATGTAGGCGATCAAAGGCTCACCGTCTTCATGGCTCGCCGGTCTGGGAATAGCAAACGCTTGAGCAGCAAAGCTGTGTTGGAGCTTATCACAGGCCGGCCTTGACGATCTCCTTGTCTTCATCTGGCTCCGACAACGATAAGTCAATCAGCATATGACCGACGATAACCTGAAGAGCGCACATCTCTCAACGCGAGAGCCGGGATCAAAACGGATGCTATTCCCCATGTCACTTCACGTCCTGCAGCATTAACGTTCACTGCAACGATGCAATGCTTATATGGAGATGAGAACTCTTCTAGCCAAGGCCGCTCTCTGCACGCTGCCGCCCTATAAATGATGTTGGCTGGCGCCTTCTCAGGACTCCTGTATCGCTCAACTCTTCGAGCACTCGAAGCACCCGAGAGGTTCGATGTCGCAGATAGAATTCGACGCGAGTCGGTCGTCAGCGGCAGAACAACAACGAGTATTATGAAGAACAGGCCGGACATGGAAAACACATGGTATAGGAACAACCAAAGCTGATCGTGGTACACCGTAATGACCCTCATCAGCCTATGACCACAATGCAAGCAAGTAATCGTAAACGCTGGCGTTGTATGCACGACGCTCTGGAGTGATATGGTAGTATCTAACCATACACCTGGTCATCGACTCCTAATCGAAGTCCTCTGAAAAGTGATGGAATCGTCCGCCATGTCGCCTTCTCAGTCCCACCCTCTACCTTAGGAATCAATGACGTATCCTGACTGTCTACTTGTGGGCAGACAATCTGTGCGCCACTTCGTTTCCGATGTTGACCAATTTTTTGGAAACATGATGGTATTGTATCTTTAATAATTGCTTACCACACATTCCACATTGTTTAGCATCAGATTTGGCATATGGAACGTGAGCATGCGTGCAAATTATTTGCTCAAATGGATTAAATCATCGGTCTTATCATTTCATTTCCCGAAACCCCCAGACTTGCTGATATCGAGAGTAAGTTCGAGTATCGCAACCCTTGCGTTCTCCATACGGCCGACGGCGCGATCCCTTCAATACTCCCATTCTCACTCTACTGTTACGCAGCCCTTCCCTTCAGCTCCTCCTCATCCTCACCATCACAGTCTACTGTCCCTGTGATATTCAGATGAATTATTCGCGGGTCATCACTCCCTCAACCCTAATATACCTATAACCGAATCGTCAACCTCATCATGAACCTTCCTTCTGCCACAGAGGTTAGAATTACGAGCCCACCACCATGGTGGCGGTCCACCACCATATTGGACCTGAAATCTCCGCTGTGCGCCAAGTCAAATACAAATTCATCGTCATTTGCCGATCGGATGTCTCGTTGTCCTAGCCATATGCTCAAGTGGCGCTGTCCATTCTACGTACAAACGACTCCGCGTGGCATTTCGCTTGGCCGCAAACAGGGAGACAATCACGATAGTGGCAGTACAGCGATTGGCCACCGCCGTCGATGATGAGCTCGACTATCGGAGAAATCCACTGAGTAGATTCCCCTGCAGAAGAGTCCACAAGCACTGACTAACCTCTGCAGTGCGTTAGCCCTATGAGACAGCTCAGCTACCTCTCCGGATCTCTCGCATCCTCCGCGGGTTGAGGAGCCACGACAGCAGCGATAACCTCGCTAGTTCGCCCCGGTGCCGCTTCCTCTACTTTTCGTATCCCTTAGGTTTCCTCCTGTATGATCTCTCAGCCGCAAGATGAGGATTTGTAGAGAGCGAGGATGTGAAGGAGGAGGTATGGTGTGGAGACATCAGCATGATCAACCCAACACATTGTCCAGAAGTTGCGATGAATGTGAACATCAGTTTTCGTGATGAACGCGTAAATAACGTGATAGCTTTGACCTACTCCCGAGGCACCATACCACACTTCTCACTCTCCGCAAAGATTCCTATCCATCGCCGAATGCCGGTATTTGCGATCGCATTCTGAGCTATACCGTAAGAGGCTCGATGCCCTCGTTTTGCCATAATAAGAGGTCATTGTCAGACCAACGGCAACTTATGACTGCTCAGGTTCCTATAAATCTCGGTTGCCTTGTACCATGGCGGAATTATCAGCGCTCGAGGATATCGTGCAATGTACAGGAAAGAGTGATCTCGAGCTGGGCGCCACATTACCGTCTCGCAAACGTCAGACTCTCAAGGGGCCTGTAAAACCGCCAACCTCCATAGCGAGTGTCACCGGGGATCGACTTCACCTCTGGTGCATTTATATACATTTCGCGAGTACCCAATCCAACTTCACTCCAGCAACAACACAACCCACAATGGTGCAGTATCAACGTCATGATAACAGATGAATCAAATGAGAATGTCCCGTGCATCTACTTGTTAAAGTAAAGGACACGGATGTCGCTGGAGTCTCCTCCTGAATAATCTCCTACACCAGACGAGAAACCTTGAGAACTTACCAATCCTTTCGAAATTCAAACGGCGGAAGAGCATTTCAGAATGTTCATTATCATCCAAAACGGCAGCCCATACGGCTGCTAGATCAGGGTACAGACGTCTTAACTGTACAGGGAAACAGAGGCCCCTAGAATTAACACACCCAAAACGAACCAAGAGCATACCTCTCGAATCCCCTCTGATACTAATGTTATGCCTATACGTCTCCCCTCCCATCCTTTAGAGACCTCAACCCAGGCAATGTAGGCGATCAAAGGCTCATCGTCTTCATGGCTCGCCGGTCTGGGAATAACAAGCATTAGAGTACCATAAGGTGTGTTGGAGCTTATCACAGGCCGGCCTTGACAATGTTGTCGTATTCAACTTCCAGTTCGAGTTCATCTTCTTCTTCATCTTCACTCTTGAACTTAACCAACATATAGCCGACGATGGTCTGAGAAGCGCACAGTTTTCAAAGGCAGAGTCGGGATCAAAACAGATGCTCTTCTCCATCTCACTTCGCGCCCTGCAGCATCGAGGTGCACTGCAACGAAGCAGTGCTCATATACAGCTGGATCTTCGTTCAGCCGTGCCCACTCAGCGGACGATGCCGCCCTATAAATGATGTTGGCTGGCGCCTTTCCAGGGCTCCTGTATCGCTCAACTCTTCGAGCACTCGAAGCACCCGAGAAGTGCGATGTCGCAGATAGAATTCGACGCGAGTCTGCCGTCAGCAGCAGAACAACAACGAGTATTATGAAGGACAGACCGGACATGGAGAACACCTGGTAGCAAAACAACTGCAGATAAACTGCCATGGCTTTCACGGGTCGGCAACCACCACGGTGCTATCTAACGGTCGACGCTAGCTTTGAATTATACAACGTTATAGAAAAGCTTACCCCTACTGCTGTTCAGCAGCTGCTTATCGGAGTCATCTGCGATGTGACAGGAGCACCCTCCATGCAGCGTCGTCTTCAACCCCTCCTTTACAACACCTTCCTAGATCACTCGTATTCCTCACGGGTTGGAGAGCCACAAGAAGAGCGATGTTCCGGTCTCCCCTGCTCTCAAGGCTCCTTTCCCCTGTGTTAGTTCATTCCCCGCCAGAGGATTGGAGGTCATGAGAATATCGTCCGCTATAGGTCGTCAGGAGGAGGAGGAGGACAGATGTCTCAAAAAGGCTCCTGTCAATTTCCCGACGTCGGCGTGATTGAAGGCAACATACTACCCGAACAGAGAGAGCATCCGGGAATTGCAATAACTGTGAGCATCGATATTGTGACAGGTTTGGTTCATTCGTAGCGACGTGCTACCTTTTTTCACCCCCAGCAAAGGTTCCCATCCATTGCCGGTCGTCGATACTTGTAATTGCATCTTCTGACCTACGCCGTGAAAGCCCCACTTCTCTCTAATACATATGCTCAGGTTTCCAGTAGTTTTGGCTGCCTGCGAGTACCACAGCGGAATTATCAGCGCTCGACCATGTCGCGCAACATGCAGGAAAGAGTGATCTCGAGCTGCGCACCACATCGCCATCTCATTTGTCTCGGACTCTCAAGAAGCCTGTAAACTTCTCACCTCCATGGCGAGTGTTACTGGACAACCACCGGCGAGCTCAGGTTGACCAAGAGTCTCCCACCCACAAATACTAGGGCTACCGCTGACAGAACTAAACGCAAATCTATGGACCTCTGCCTAGCACCTCCTACGTGCATAAATAAGGAATTATAATCTCATACCGTGATCATTGAGCATCATTTCTTGCATGCATCGAATTGGGTTATCACAGCCCCTATGGAGAAGGGACGACTCCTTCAGTGGTCATTAGGCTTGCCGTCCAACCGTCCCAACGCACTGAGGAGGAATACCAGTCCTGACAGAACCCACAGGAGCTGAGCGCCCACCGGAAGCTGATAGGGTTCTTGATCCGAGGTTTGACGAAGAGCTCGACGGGCTTCTTCGGCGACTGAGCTGCCGCACACGCACTCGCCGTGAACGCTTCAGCAAGCTGGCGCACCTGATCGACGTTGGAGAAGCTGACCGACAGAGGTCCTTAAGGGAAGCCTCACCCGGTGAGGCTTCGACATAGTGAGAGGTGTGGCGCCGGGTATAACACCAGGGTTGCGGGGCTTGCCGATCTTCGATGGTGTTACTCCGGGATTCAACGGCGTTATCTTCGGCTGAGAGTTCGACGGTTTCAGGGGGCTCCGTTCCTACCACACACAGAGGCCGCCTTGATCGTGGGGAAGGAGGATGACAAGACCACCTCCAATCGAGTAAGTCCGGGATTCCGACCTACCTTCGCTACGTCCTCCGTCTCGGCCGCCTCCTCTACAATAGTCTCAATCGCCACATTCTCCTTGTCTTCCTGCTCCTCCTCAGTAGAGTCTGATGACATTGTATATTCACTCACACCGCAAGTGTGGAGCTGCATACTCTGGATTGGTCCAAGCTCGGACATGCGGACGCTCAAAGGTGACAAAGCACCGTCACCACCAGGAGGCTTCCCTTTAGCTGACCTTACTGTGTCGATTACAGGAGAGCTCCTCTGCAACACCTACTCAGCATTACAGTCGCAAATGGGGCGGAGGGCGGGAGGCCTCCCACCTCGGCGGCCTGGAGAGGCGCTTGTGGGGAGCTCTTCTCTGCTACTCTAACCGGCCCTTCCTCCTCACGCCCCTCCTTCCAAACAACATAACGACTACGGAGTCTGCACTGCTCACCTGGGTTACTCCCGTCACCGCGAACTCCCCAACCTTAGTCTTCTCACATTCTGGAGGAGTATCTGTCCCTCATCGCTGGCGTCATACATACAAAGTTGCAACACTCACCCTCGCGTCCCTCACCACCCCTATCGTGGACACTACGAGCTGATCGCTGAGCATCTGAAATGATACAGGCCCATTAACCGCAAGTGAAGCCAACATCTGCATCACCCCTCATAGCCTCCTTAATAGCAGTATTATAATCCGACACACCCGCGATGCCCGTCTTCAGAGCCTTCAATTCGTCTTGGGCGAGCGACAGCTCATGCAGTAGCCGCGTCCTCTAACACATGAAAGCGCAGGGTTGGGATATATGTTCGCTTTCCTCAGCTGAGCTCAGGAGTTTCCTCACGGAGTTTATATACGAATTCGAGTAGAAGTGTACGGAGGCCAACAATAATTTCCCAAATTTTCCTTAGAATTTTCATCTCATCACCAACACATGTAGTTGACCATGTGCATATCCCCCTCCACACTGTCTCAGCGACTCAACCATCATAACCCTGGAGGACCGACCTCTGCGCTGATGACGTCCATCTGCTTCATCAGCTTCTCAAGAGTGTCCTCAAACTCATTCCTCTGAGCCTTCAGGAACTCTACCTTCTTCTCGGCATTCTCAGCTCTCGTCTCCACCACCCGTTTACTACCTACGATAGTACACAAGCTTATCAGCTATAGACAACAACAGTTCCTAAACCGCACACATTACCCTCGAAGGCCTCAGCCTCTTGTTTCAATTTCGCAGTCTCCACCTTTAACGCCTCGAAGCGCTGCTCGTAAGACATAAGGCTCCTAAGCACCCCTCCATGCACCATCTCATGCCTGCATGCCTACTACCTCATCGACATACTAGTAGAAGTAGATGTGGTGCGGCTCTCGGGCTTTACGTTGTTCACTGCCACTAAAGGAGCCAGTGTCACAACGCTCTCGTCGCCTAGTCCGCCCTCACCAGCAGCCTCAAGCTCCTTCATTGCTTTCTCAACCGCCTCCCTCTCCTCCGATACCCTCTCCAACTGCAATGACAGCCTCTGAGCTTCCGCTCTCAGCTCCGTCCGCTCCTTCTCTGCCTTCTCTAGTGCCTCCTTAGCCTCCTTGTACTTCCTCAACGTCCTCTCATGCTCCTCTTGCTCGTGTCTATACCGACCCTCCCACTTTGATATGTCGAACTCGCACTCGTCCAACCATCCATCTTGCTTCTTAACCTGATGCTACAGTTAAGCTCATAAACGGCAACACGATGCCGTTATGGCAGCACCCGAACACGCCTCATGCAGTCGTCTCCTCCGATCAACCCCCGTGATATGTTCAGCAACGATGAGCAACCTACCTTCTCCTGCAGCTCTACAATGATCTGCTTGTACTTGTCCACACTCTGGTCACCCGCGATAGGACACCCCTCTGGTACAGCCGCCAAGTCACCACCAAAGCCCTACAGAAAAGGGCAGGCTAAGCTCGAGGGAGAACCCATACGACCACACTGAGCTGCGAAAATGCCAGACGAGCCAAGTACTCCCGCTCGGACGTTTCGTGTGCTCAGATTGAGCGATGGGAAGCCCTCCTACACCTCTTAACTCACCAGCAGCCCCGCCACCGCCTCGTCCATTTCTAGACTCAACCGACTACGGGCTTCTCTCGACTCCCTCCTGTTACTACTAACAGCTGGCTTCTCGGTACCAGCAGCGGCCAAGGGAGGCTTCCCTACGTTACCTGATCCTCTACCTCTCTACCCACTTCCTCTCAAGCTAGTCCCTTCCTCTTTACCATTCACGCTCTCCGCCATCATCGTCTTCATCTCCCTCTCCTTCCCCTCCAAGCGCTCCTTCAATGCCTCAATCTCCGCCTCTAGCCCGAACATCTGTGACGATCATCCCACTAACCCCAACAACAACGAGGAAGAGAAGCACTCACCGCAATCTGCGCCTTGTTACGCTCAGTTTTCGTTGTCTCTAATTCCAAGGGCAACCTCTGACGAGCAAAGGCAACATAACTCGACGAACGAGTAGTAGACCAACCTCCAGCGACTCGAGGGTTCTCTTCAGCTCGTTGATCTCGCCCTCTCTAGCCTGCTTCTCACTCTGTACTTCCTGCCACCTCGCATCAGCAGCCTCCTACATACAAGCAGCTCTCCACACTCACAACCACCCTTCCCCTACCTGTTCCTCCTGAAGCTCTATCACTTTCGCCTTCACCTCCGCCAACTCCGCCTCGAGCGCCACCACGGCCGCCTGACTTTCGCTCCGCGCCTCTTCAGCAGCCTCCAGATCGTCCCGTAGAGTCCCGGTGCCCTCCGTTGCTGCCTCCTAGAACACCAGCCGCTCCTACCAATACACACAACAACCGACTCTCCCACCTTCGCCTCTTCCAGCTCTTCCCGAAGCTTCTTCATCCTATCCTCTCCATCCTCCAGCTCCGTCCTGAGAGCCTTGATAACATCCTGGCTCTCCGCCTGAAGCCTCTGCGCTTCCTCCAACTCCTGCTCTAGCCCAGCGACCCTCTCGTCATCACCAGTCGTTGCCTGTAAGGACCTCACGCTGCTCATGCTCTCCCATATCCCCACCACATCGTCCGGCTTCTGCTGCAGTGCCCTCAGCCTTTCAGTCTTTTGCTTCAGCTCCTTCTTGAGCGACTTAATAGTGCATGTCGCTTCCTCCTCACTCGCTTGCTTCTCCTCCAACTTCTCCTCCAGGGCTTCAGTACGATTCTGCAACGACAAACAGAGGCGTAGAAGACTCCCAGGCTCCAACACAGAAACGATAGTATCACATGGAAGACATACAAACGGCTCCTCACCAGTGCCTCATCCTTAGCCTCCAACTCGAGAACCAGCTCCTGTTTAAGGGTCCTGATCTTCTCTCGAGCTTCAGCCTCCGACCGCTCGAATCCTTGCTTAGCTTTCTCGAACTCCTTCCGTAGTTGCTTCAGCTCCTATACAACGTTCACTAAGCGAATATCCCCAAGCCCCCCGACAGAGGCGATCTCACCCGAGACTCTTTGCTGGATTTCCGCGCTGATTCCAACTGTTTACGCAGCAGCTTGATCTCCTCTTGACTCTCCAAGTCTCTGTCCAGGGCAATACTCAGGGCTCGACGGACTTCCTCGAGCTCCTGGAAAAACGCGTGCCAGTCGATCGAACGGCCTCAAAGCCAAGGGGCACCAGTAATAAGCTCACCTCGAAGACAGCCGAGGTTGGTGCAGGATCGATACGAGATACGTCGGGGGCCTCATCATGATCGATGGTCAGGTCGAAGACGCTATCACGCGCTTCACTAGGTCGGGCCTGAAGACCCCATTCCCCGACACCCCGACTGCTCCTCTATACCCACCAGGGGTCGCTCTTCATGCCCGAACACACTGTCAGTCGATAGACGGTTGCCGTCGCCCCTGTCTGCTCCTCCTCTCCTATCGACCTTACCCGATACCACCAACACCGCCATCGCCCCCGATAACGAGTCATGCCTCTTCCTTTTTGGGTCACTGAGAAATCACACAATGCACGCAAGCACTCGCTGTTGCCATCATCTCCTCAAGCCGTCCTCACAATCACCTCGGCTTAGCCTCCGGTGTTGACTCTTCGCCGTTACCAACCTTCCCCCTAGTCTTCTTAGGAACAGACCGCACATCTCGGGTCCGTTTCTGAGAGCGTGTGGACTGAACAGGAGGACCACTGAGCCTATCCAACCACGAGCTTCCTACCACATCAGTGTCGTCATCCCGACCACCACCACCACCGTCCTCCTCCTCCTCTATCTCGCCTACCCGACTGCGGAGCGGACTGAACGAACTACAATGAGCCCACCAGAGAGCAGCGCCAAAGCACAGGAGCACCTGTCATCGACTATTCCCGACTCCAACAGGCCACCGATAGAAGATTCCTACAACACTACCAGTACCCCGCATAAGGCACAGGCCACTTCCTCACTTGCTCCGCCTCTACTGTCGATCCTGACGGCGACTCCACGGTCTTGTCGGGACTGAGGGAGACCGTCAAAGCGGTTAAGATCAATCCCACTACCCCTGACTGTCTTCAAGTATGCTACGGTCAACCGATAGATTCAGTACGCTGCTGCCATTTCGATTCACCCTCGGATCGCAGTCTGAGACAAAGCATATCAAGAGGACGCAGGTTCGATCCCTGCACCCTACCAGACCGCAGCAATAGGTTGAAAGACGCCGCTTGCTTGAAGCCACCACTACCCACCTCCTCTATACAAGCCTGATAAACACTACACCCCAGTACTGCTGCTCATCCCCTTCCTACATCTATCTTGTCGTTATTATGCCGTATATAGTAGCTCCTATACTCCTCCTCCATGCAACAGAACGATACCGTCCCCGGCTCAAACTTATTAACAGACATGATCCACCAGGCGTTCCTATCGTCCTCGCCTATAACCTTGGCTTCAACCTTCACCCGCCCCTTGCGGGACTTCATCTTTCCTAATAAAGTCTGACCACAACGTCGATACATTCGAAGTGCCCACAGCAACAACACCTCAGCTTACCGCCCAAGAAAGAGCTACTGCATTTTCCGGGACTTCTCCCTCATCATGCCATTGACGCAGGCTATCTAGAGGATTCATCGAGCAGGGGAAGATACGGACCGCCCTGACAACAGACCCACTGAAGTGAAGGACAGTGCTGAAATACATGATTGCTTTCCTCAGTTGAGCTCAGAAGTTCCCTCACTGGTTGTAGAAGTTGATATGCGAATCCGGGTAAAAATGTACAGAAAACAATGAGAACTCCGAAAAAAATTTCCTCAGAGTTTTCACAGTGTGAATACTTCCCTACAGTGGACGGTATGATAGGAACCATAGGAGCTACTCACTTCCCCCCTTCTAAGCCAGCACTAGCATCCTGGTCCGGCAGTATGAGAAATATCTGTTTCCTCGACACTAGCTTCACCGTTCGTGCAGTACATCCGATCTGCCACAGAAGGATGCACCAACTCCGAGCCATGCCGTGCCTCGATAGCCTACATGTTGATTGACTTGATTAGCAGCTCCTATGGTAGCCCATAGAGGACCAAAGCCGGCCGTCGATACAGTACTGGAGTCGCCCATACAGACAATGTAACACTACCACACAATCCCATCATCACCACGACTACCAACGCATCACGAGAAACCTGTAAACAATCACATAGGACCATGGTAGCGCCGAGACAACCTGGTAGCCGATAGTATCTTCCCTGCCGCCTGCATCTTCTCGAGCCTCCTCTCAATGTCATTCACTATACGCAAACGATATTCTGATAACATAGCCGGCATCGCCTCAGGCACCTCCACGACCTCAGCTGGCCGCCGACAGACAACTCCATCACGCTCAGAGGTGCCCTGCCTCTCCAACACCCTTCGAAGCCTCACCACCTCATCCTGGGCAGAGGCGAGCTTCCTCTCCAATTTACGTATACGGCGACGATGCTCAGCTAATTGCTCTAAGTAAGGCGAGGGACCCGTGGCATCCTCCATGGCCCCTTCCCGGGTTTGCACTGATACCCCTATGGTCTGTAGGGGCGATTCAGTCTGGGTGCCCAGAGAAGGCTTTCGCTCCGCTGTAGCACCAGCAGGTCTTCTACTATCCGACGACATAACCTCTCGCAGCTGGCTCAATAACGCAGATGGGAGGCTCCTATTAGCCCCAGCCAGGTCCAGGAGAGACTGCCCACTCTGGAAAGAGGAGTGATAATGACTGCGAGTAACGCCAGAGCTCCTCCCCACCTCATTCTTGATGCCACCATCGACTTTCCCGTCTCCAGCAGTAATTCCAAGACCTTCGATCGACCGGCCATAACAGCAGCCATAGCCGGGGTGTTGCCTGTGAGCCACATGCAGGACCCTAGGCCGATAGGAACCCCCTCGCACCTACGTTGTTTTTAGCATTCACATCTGCTCCACTGTGAATCAACTAATAACATCGCATAGGAGCATAAGCCAAGCAGCTCCTCCTCACCATCTTAGCGATCTCCTCCCGACCTAATGCCGCCGCCACATGCATTGCCGTAGCTCCGTCCTGGTTACTAAACCCGACAGATGCGCCCAATTGCAGTAGGAGCTCCACGCAGGTTGGACGGTTACGGCTCAATGCCACGTATCTACAACACCAATAACAAAATCCAAATTATCACATAGACTCTCACAATGGGGTGAAACCGCTACGGTCGGGCTTGTCAATCTCGGCCTTCCTTTCCACCAACAGTCGAATAACCTTCTCATTACCACCGCTAACCGCAGCGTGCAGGGGAGTGAGGCCGTACCTACGATGGCCGCCGCATCCCTCTACACCAGAGCAACCTGACGTACTGGTTGGCTGCTGCTCTACAGTCTACCGTTTCAAGGCATTCCACCACTGCTGCATAATCCCCCTTCCGAGCGGCCTGGAGTAATCTATCCAACTCGTCCGATGTAGGGTCGGACATCATCAGTACGATAACTCGGCGCCAATTGACAACATTCAACACAAAATGATCATGAGGAAATTGATCACAGTGAACACCCCGACACCCTCATGCATGCTGCTCTACAGTGGCCGATACCCTCAGAGTAATCACAGTAAGCTCTGCTACCATAACACCACCCTGCAATGCTAGGAACGGATGATGCTGGGTCGCATTAGCCCATCACCTCTCGAGTGCAACATATCATCGATCTGGATGACGTTAGGCATCTCAGCGGCTTGGCGATAATTTGTCAGACACACAGCAACAAAGCAAAAACTCCCGAGTGCATCCAGTCGGACCGTCGACCCTGTGTCATCTAAAAGACCCAGGTTCGATCCCTAGTCGCAGTATCACAGCTCTCACCTTAGGAAAATGATAAAGACGGATATTCTGTCCACATGGAAAGGTAGAGTGAGGATAGCAGTAGCTCTCCCACTGGACACAATCAGCACCTCTCCTCTAAACCTCGAGCCGCTAATCTCCAACACATTTCAGCAGTGAACCGTTTCACAAATGCGCTCGGGCGAGCGAGATTTACATCAGGAAAGCATTGCAGTCAAAGCGGACAATTACTGTATAACGATGAACCAACCGATCCTTGGGGCTGTCGAAACAGGTATTCAATGGCCGTGTTGCCCACATCCCAAGAAACGCCCACCCTCAGCCGAAGCCTCGTCTCCTAACCCTCGACTGAGTGCTCCAAGAAAGGCAGGCTCAACTCAGAACATCGAGACCACCCCACATAAGGGAAAGCTCCAATGCCTCCGCCTTGGAACCGCAGTTGGATATGTCGATAGCACAGTACCGCTGCATAACGTCACGCCTGACAACCCATGGCACCTCTTCGTTATTATTAATCAATGGCACTGGCTCTGAGCCAATCTGGGGGATACACATCCCTCTACAAGCCTCTACAAGCTCCCTGTAACAACCTGACCTCACTTACTATACCACTAAAGAGGAGGCACCTCCCAGCGGTTATTTCAGCATAAACAACAGTATAGTGCTGTTGTCGCTATATACATGGGCAAACGAAGGAAATACGATTCCCTTTCCACAACTCCCCACTCAGGCCGCAACACACGTCAGAGTGTAAGTATACACACATAGTGTTCAAACAGAAGATATATGCCGCTTCATCTGGGGAATCGATTCAATGGTGGCCGCCTTAGGACTGGGCCCAGCAGGCTCAATGTCCGAGCCAGGCACCATCCTGCAGCGTCGACACCATCTCCTACGCCTCACAACATCTGATCTCCGCATGTCCGAGTGGAAACCCTCTTCATTAGCCGCGGTGAATGATACAGCGTATCTGATAGGGACCACTCATACCATCAAAAAACCCGAGAGGGAGGAATAGCGACCAAACCACAACAGGTCATAAAGCCCTAGTCGACATCATAAACTATCATCACTCAAAGGCCCACCGTACATACTCCCAACCTTCGACGTCTCCATCAGCACTCCGATCCACATACCTAATACAGGGGAGCCCAATAGACCTTATGTTGCCTACTACTACCATAGACTCGTCCACTCCCATCGGCCTGGGCCCTTAGGGAGTTGGAAGGACTCCTTTGGACAGTAGAACTGCCCATACTCATCGCTCCAGGCCGAGCGCTCCCCTGCAAAGAGGTGATGACCCCAGCCACCAGTCACCCACCAACGCTGATTCTCGTAAGTCACAAAGAGGCGTATCTGTTCATGACTTCGACCCTCCAACGGAAGGTCAGAAGACTCCCCTACCTTATCATAACTGGATTTAGTTCGTACTAATTCAGCCGATGACGCCACTCCTGATGTGTCACCACTGGGAGATCGGCGCTCATGCTTCACAATAGGAGCCGGTGGAGGCTGCCTCGCTCGAGGGGTCTCCTCACTCACAGTTTGTACGATCCTATAGACAGCACCGTTGACATTATCATCAACACCTGATCATCGGCTACTCCACAAGCTGCCTAGCCGATGCCGATCTCGACAAGAACCGGCCCGTGACACTCTCGAAATGATGAGCCATGAACCTGTAGACCTACTACATGACGACCTCACAGACGACCCCGCCCTACATGCGGAGGTTCTCAGCCATTTCTCCCGAGAGCATGTTATACCCCAAAGTGGCGTAGATAAGTACAAGTAGTACGTAGTTGAAGGGCACAATAAGGAGACCAAAGGTAAGAGGAATCGCCGCTATCGAGCTCATGACCTTGAACAGATCTACGCCCCCATGAGCTCTCACCAGCTTACCAAGGCCTCCCTAGGGTTCACATTACGGAATTTCTCCAACATCTTCAGTCCGTGTTGGGTGACCGTATGGTTGTACTGCAAGTTGAGCTCAACCTCTCTCTGCTTGTCCTGGATCTTCTGCACCCAGTCGTAGACCCCAGTAGCGCCTACTACCCAGCCAAGGTCTACATCAACAACCGAGTTGGACCCTCCTACCGCTCTCCGCGCTCTTCTCAGGATCGCGCTTGTGACCTCCCCCCTCCTTAGCATTTGCCGAAGACCTCCTTCCGCCCTGTCGCACTGCTGTTTCCTGTATACCCTTGATAAGCCGCATATACCAAAACCCAACCGCCGCCCAAGGCAGCGAAGGCAGCACCCACCTGCACAGACCAAGCTCACATGCTGAGCTTGGTCTCTAGAGGAGACCTACCTTGGGTGTAGACAAGCGATGGTCGCAATAAGCAGGAACAGCCACGTCCTAGCAGTGTCGCCCTTCCAATGAACAATATCATGCACCGTATCGTGGATCTCCCTATAAGGGCCTGCCCCAAGGTGAGGTTACCAGCCCAGTACAGTAGACCTACCACACATGAGACTCCACCGCTGCATCTGGTCATAGTACTCCTTCATGCTAGCTGGACCCGTTATAGCTGTCGCTACGCCACGTGTCCGACTCGTATCCTATGTGTATCGCTTTCAACCTCTGACCCACCGACAGCCGACCCACCTTCCCCTTGCCATCGCCGCCTACCCCATCAGCATTATAGACACGCCCCTGTCCAGCATTGGACGTTACGCTGAACTTATCAGTAATCTCACGAAGGAGCTTCCTCCCCTCCAGCTGAGGAGAGATCACCGAGGCATCCCCCACACATGCCTGAAAGATTCCTCTTAGTCGTAATGCAGCAGCAATCGTGGCGCGCGCTACCTCATCTTCACTCTCGAGCTCGCGTGGGCTCGTCTGACGGCTAGAGGCGGCCACCAGTGGGTTCACTGAAACTGAAGACAACAAGTCCAGCAGTGAATCCCTTGGAGAGGTCCTCACCCTTGGCAGCCGTTTGTCTGCTACTTCGAGGTGTCTTAGGGCCTCCCTCGACCAAGCCAGCCTTGATGCCGACAACTGCCACTAGACGCTGACCATCAGTTGACCACAGCTCTGCTTCTGTTGTACCTGAACGCCGACAAGCACCTTCCACACGACCAACCAGCCAGTGGTACAGTTCAATTTCACCTATGCAATATCGCTAAGCACATGGAGAGGTGGCCAGTTAGGCCCGGCCCCTGGGGATCTCTAGCGAGTATGGCTATGCAAGCCCCACATCAGCCTTCCGAGGGCCACACCTCTCAGGGTTCCCCACAACTCAATTCCCCCCGCAAGCGCGTGAATGGAGGACAGAGAAAATGAATCTCACGTTCCAAAGTGTCCGTGTCCCTGCTATCTTGTCGGGTTATCCGCTCACCATCCCTCTGCACTGACGGCTCTTCACATAAAGCGGTAACAGGAAGCTCCCCCTCCGCCGCAATCACCTGCCCTTCACGATATCAACCATACCACGCCTTCCCCCAATCCTACCAGTCTCGGCGACTTCCCTTGCTGTTCGCCCTTCCTGCTACGAAGGTTCTGGAATAGGCGCAAAAACAGACTGGCAGGAGCCCTACAACGAACACATCCTTCCACAAGCCACCACGCCCGAGCTCACTTGTCCTTGTCGCCCTGCATGGAGGAGAGGGCATCTCCCACAGGCAAGTGCAGATGCGGTTGACTGCTGAAGTCGAGCAGTAGGCTCTCAGCATTCATCTCCTGATGGGGTTATCAGGGAGGTTGGACAAGTAGGCTCCCTTCTTATTACGACTGCCTCTGTATTGGCCACCACTCCAGAGCCCTTAATCGTGAGGGCCAGATACACTCGTCCATCCTTGGCCTAAAAACAGTAGTAAAGAGCCCTCCGCCAGTCCCCAACATGGACATGAACAGACCATTCCAACTAGCATCTCACCAAGCTGCCTGCTGTCGCTGATGACGACCTTCGACTCGTGGTCCTCTCTGCCATTGGTTTGTCTACTATCCGCAAATACTGGACGTTCACCTCCACCGCGGTGATGTTAGAGGGGGACATAGCGGTAAAATTAACACATGCACTATCGAACTACCACATGCCTCCCTAGAGGAATCGTCCACCCCTCCCATTATTTTCCTCAAGCGAGAAGGGCTCATGCAGAAACTGATTATATCAGAAACATGGTGAGGTCAGTGACCCGATCATCCCATAGTCACAGACGCCACACCATCAGTGTAGAGCTCCATGCCGGCCTCTCGAGTGATCCACACCCGTCGACAGTCTGTAGCCGCAGCCGGACCCCCCTGTCCATAGCGAACCCGAGACACACAATGCTGGACCTCACTGACTATCGTTTTCGGCGTAGGCGGGCTCTTGGCAAACCCCGGTTTCGCTCGCATGACTAGGGCATGCAGAGCCCTCACAAGCTCCAGATCGCCAGTGTGTAGCAAGTGTGGGAGGTATACAGCCACAGCAGTCATCAGCGGACTCGTCGGGTGTGCCTGAAGATACTACAGGCAAGAACCCCTTCTCGAACGTACCGCGATGAAGCCCTTCCGCATGCTCTCCAACGAAGGCCTTTCACTGCCGAGGTGCGTCCTCACAAAGTACTCCATAGCCCCCGACAAAGCGATAGGTGTGATATTCTTGGCCTCAACGAGCCGGTCTAGACCAGGCATGTCTCCACTATCTACCTCCTGAGGTGTTCAATCATACCCTGCACACCCTGTACTGCCTCCTACCATGGCCAGGTCCAGGGCGGATAATGCATGATAGACCAAGGCTGCCGCCACCGGGTCTCGGGTCGCCGACACGGCTGACTTGATGAAGTCAACCTGAGGAGGGAGAAGCATCTCCCTTGAGGGTGATAGTGCATCCTTCTCTTACCTTCCGGTATCCCACATGTCGGAGGGCACTGACCACGGCCGCTAGGACAACCTCAGAGGCAGATTCCAGTTGAAGGGTGCCCAGCAGCAGATCGAATAGTACAGCCTGCAATATGAAGGAGCATCGACCATACACGTGATCCTGTACTGCAATGAGATGAGCTACTACTGGCTAGATACCACAGAGGTAATCATGAGCCAACACCCCCAGAATAGCGACTAGCCCCAGTTACGTCCGTCTTGCCTGTCCTAGACAGGCCTACAATAATGTCCCTCACGTTGCTGGTGGTGATCTGATCTACAGGATACCTCCGAACCTTCGTCGTCACCCAACGCCTGAGGAGAGCCTCACTAACTACGGTACTACTGGGCTTACGCGAAATCGGGGCTGACGACGTCCATCGCCCCCAGAGAGGACACAGCGATACATAGCTGGTCCATGGTCACTCCTTCGCCACTGCTAGGCCTTGGCAGAGCCTCTGCTCACACGCTTCAAGACCCCACTATCCAGGCGACCGCCGACCTACCATGCCGCTGCCGTCGCCTCCGCACACTCTCTATACTCGAGGTGAGCTCGAACACTCCCGGCGTGGTGTCCCCTTGGGCGTCGCATATCATTAGTCTATGCGAGACCAAGGTTAGGAAGTCCGCCTAGGAAAAGATAGGCAGTAACGACAGAGGCACCTCACCTCCCTTTGGTCTAGCCTTGAATACGATGATATCAACGCTATGCACTGGACTGCTGTTAATCGTCGGACATGCGGCCGGAGTAGGGAGGATACTATAACCAGTAAGGGCACCTAGAGGCGCTCAGTACAACTCCATAACTTCTATTGCCAAAGTCAGCAGCTCTCCGATGGTACTAACACGATGGCCCTATGTACATCCTTATGGCCCATCCTAGCAAGACTAGCAGCTACTGTGATCAGGTCACTACAGCTTGGAGGAGCATCGGGTGGATACTGCCTCTCTAGGAGGTAAGGGCCTAGGTTGTCGAAGAACTGCACAGTATCATCGCTGAGGTTACCCTCCTCGGTACACCATGTGACTGGAAGAATGCGATCAATGCTCGCCGTATACGTCCTACCAGCCTGCCCACCTGCCCTCATGAACGCTATAACGCTAGGAGCAGGTAGTCCCTTCAGAGTCGTTCCGAACACCCTCGTGCCGAGCCTCCAGACAACGCCTGAAGATCAGCTCCTATACAGGATGGATCACCTGCCGAATACTTTCTAGTTCGACTGCGGTCCCATCGGCCTGGCCGATGCCGGCCAGAGAGCGGGCCAACAGGGCCACTCCGTTTTCCGATAAGCCTTCACCTTGCCCTTGTAATACAGGAGACTGTAACTGGCATCACGGCGATGCCCAGTGGTGACCCTCAGAGCTACTCTCACCAAATGTAGCTTCGCCGCTTGAAAGTGTTCGCTATCAGGAGTCGAACTCAGAAGACTAAGAAGGGTCGCCACCTCCTTGGCCCTCCGCAGGTCCTTATAGTCCAATACGAGTATGCACCTCGCGATGAGCGGCCGGAGGCCAGCCGTGGATTCAGCCAAGCTCAGACCTGAGAGCAGCAAATTTATCCAATCGGTATCAGTGGTAAGTTCCACAGTTACTTGTCATACCCTAAACCCTGATTACTGTAACTTACACGCATGGACAACAGCCATGGACTGCCCCTTAGCTTGGACTCTCTCCAGGAGCTCCACAACTAGCATACTAGTATCGACTCCTTGATGGCCTAGTAGGGCTGTGAGGTTGAGGATGCCGTCCAGCTCGGTAGCGATAGGGAGAGGACCATTGCCATGAAGGGCAGCTCGGAGCCGCTTGCACAGGGATGGCAAGAAGATATGAATGAACGAGTCTCCGTCAGGCTGAAGGAAAGCAGACCGTTTCCTAGCATCAGGATAGAAAGCACCTCCCAATGTTAGCTTTTGTCAGTAGTTTCCTCAGCTATAGTAATTCACATATAAATTGGAATAGGATTGTACAGGAATCAATTAGAGTTTCTTCAAAATTCTGATATTTTCATCAACACGCGTTGTAGACTATGTGCATATTTTCCCCTCCCTCTCAGTGATGCATCGTTCTACTACACAATAGGACGGTGCGGACTCAACAGTAAAGAATATATCGTTAACTAGACCGCCGACTTACATCCTTCTTATAAATATGATATAGACGTAGACAGATACCCTCAACATCCGTCCAAGTAGAGCCCATAGGGGAGGCTACATGGTGGTCCAGGAGGGGACCTAGGATGCTTATGAGCCTCGGATTCAATCGGCAGAGCTGACACAAGGACACTCACGATCAGCAACGACTACACTAGGGTAATAGTCGGGCTAACGACAGTGTTGGAATATATGTCCTTTCCTCAGCTGATGTCAAGAGTTATAGAATTTTACTTACCAATTTGGGTAGGAATTTACGGAAATAAACAACAACCTCCCATAATTTCCTCGAATTTTTTCATATTGTCACCAACACATGTTGCTTAAGGATAATACGAACGACCAATCGAGGCACCACTACTACTTTAGCGAAGGAGCCGATAGCATAGGCGGCTAGCCGCCCACCCCAAGAGGTGTGGGTCCGCCCAACAACATCCAGGATCTCTGTGACGACCTAGCCGGAACATATAGAGTTGATAGCGTCTATATCATTACTTGGTCGGGTAAGGCCTCCTGTTGATGGTGCTTAGCTGTTATATTGGCCACTATAGGCCATAGTGATGGGCCCATGTTACGGCTAGCTCCAGTGGTCACCTATAGGGGGGTGCCTGACTCGCCGGCCGGCCCTGCGACGACTCAACAATGGACACGCAGTGTACTCGTGAGTAGACTTGCGTGTATACACAGTCTCACGCTTTTAGGGAGAGTGAGAGTATTACAATGCGTCCATCAAGGCTTTCCGAGGACTTCACACAAGCATAGCAGCGCTACGTTACATTCCGTAGGAGTAACGACACGGCTACTATTCCGTTGAGAGAGGCTAGCTGTCAATATGGCCATCATAACTCAATCGCGTTATGCTATCAATGGTGACAGACAAGATAATACTACCAGTCGTAGTAGCTCTTGATGGAACTTCGTAACACTTTTGGCGAACTCCTCCGACCTCAGTCTAGCGACAAGCATGTGTTGATCTGTGAATGGATCTCCTCCTTCCTTTGAACTAACACGAGCGATCGTCTGCAGGAGGTATCGACTGGAGACTGCCGGCGGCCTCGTCCTCCATCGTACTCCTCTGACTAGGGATGACATACTACAACTGCTCGAGTCCACTGACGAGTAGACGGATACTGCCTAGATAGATACGAATAACTAGTGGGCAGATGACCTCTAATTTCAAGATTGACTTTTATCCCTCATCACAGCACATGCTGACAGTCGATCGCGACTCCTCCCTGTAGCAGCACTTATAACTACAACACAACACACACAGTATCAGAGCAGCTATGGGAACATCCAACGTACGACAAAGGGGCTGGGGTCTCACTGTGAGAGAGCAGCTCTTACTATACCCGACTAGCGAACTCCCTCAGGAGAACTCGACAACATCACCGATCTGCGTAGGACAACCCTACTTAGACTAAGCGTACGGCCTCACCAAAGCACTGGCCACCACCCTAGCCTGTGGAGGGATCTCTCTCGAGGCGCCATGGTGAAACTGTTGCTATTCAGTCTGTATTTAATCGCATCTATCATTATATCAGGTCGCATCTGCTCTCGTAGACAATGCCAAGATCCGAGAGTAAGCGAGCTACCCTAAAGCTGCAGTTGGTAATCCATCTCTACCATCGACCTGTGTCTCTACTGGTGTCCGTGATACACATCTGGAGTGAGTGTGAAGGTCTCCCAAGAGAGCAAGTTCACGGATAGCCGAAAGACAGATGACGGAATTTTAAGAGAAAAGCAAGACGTCAAGTCGTTGCTAAAGCAGTGATCCAGTCTGATCACCTTCGGACCACACACCCAAGAACAGAGAAAGTTCCCCCAGAGTGCTTGAGAATTCCTGTTGGAAACCCTCAAGCACTCTTAGTTAGGCCTCAGACGAGCTATCTTGGGTGTGACGGTGTTCATATTTTTTTTTTCTATCTGAGATGGGGGGCATTCACCCGGGATCTGCACGGTGGCTGATTGGTATAGCCGTGTTTTATCCCGGGCACTGAATGCGTCACGGACGTGGACTGCTTCCCACATGGGTTTGTGAGATCCACCCTCGTCCGTGACATATTGCCAAAACTCCCATCACAGAACCTCCATCAACTGCGAACGGCATGACGTGAAGAGGTTTCCCAGCTCCAAGTTGAACTAGGATAGTGAAAAGAAATCGCGCTCGCCCGAAAATTGTTCGCGTCGCAGAAGAGAATTGACTTGACATCTGGGTCATGTGAGAGTAGAGGTATATGCCTGTGTTATTATATAGTTAAAAAAATCCCAGATATCTTCTAGATATGGCAAAGGACAGCTCGCCGGAGTCGTTGTCCAACTTGTCACCCGCAATCCCTCGTCCAATCCTGGTCTCTCGAAGATCCTCAGTGGACACTGCGGACTCCCTGAATTCGCCTCGCTCGGTGCGATCGGATAGAAACGGTGAGATCTGTGGGGGCAACGGTTCGATACTCTGTTGGGTGTGGGTGCCGAGTATCGAAAGTCCCAAGCCAGTCGATTGCTCTCTTCAGCTGAGTGCCTTCTAGATCGTTACTTATTCACCCTTCCTCAGGTAACGAAATTATTGCTCATTCCAAGGAACACTCCATATCGTTCGCGGACGAAATTCCTGACGTTTTTGGGGATCCCCAGCTGTTGGAGACCGTGATTCCTGTGGAGTGCTACAAAGTACGTAAGCTCTATCTCTCAGCGTTGATCAATTCTCGCTGTTATACTAGGATCTAAACCGCTCCTTGAGCTTCGAGCCCCGTGACACCGAATTCCCCGGGAAGCATCAAAGCTGTATGGGCGGTTTCCAGGAGTTACTGCACCTCCTATTCTGCACCAGCGATCGTTCGGATGAGGACATGCCGGCTTTTCGGTCTGAGTCGTATTATATGTAAGTTGAGTCCGTCAACACATCGTATTTTTATGAAGACCTATTCCCGTCGGTGGATATATCAATCCTGCACTGAGATGATAGCTCTCACCTGCAGCTCTACGGTGTTCACTTCTCTCATTCTAATCGTTTTCTCCCTTCAAGTGTTCGGGTTTCGTCGGTGTTCTTATACCACAAATTAGACCACTTTCAGCATAGTTCAAGTAATTGCATCAGGCCTCTGTCGTGGTAGTGTTTCTCCTTCGATGGATGATGCGTCCTATTCGTGATTGTAGTCTACCGTCTTTCGGTGATAGCGACCAATGTGAGTCTCCAGCAATGGTCTCATGTATATCTCACATTCGAAGCTCAGCGATACTTGCCGTTTGTTTCTGTACTTGTCTGCTCAGCAATAACTTCTCTGTCTGTTTGCGTATGAAGGGTCGGCAGGAAACATAATGCTGCTATCTTTCGTAGTGTCCTCTTGTGGTTTCATGCGACGTACAATCCCCCAAAGTTCTCTTGACAGTTGACATGGTGTGGGTGAGGGTGTGAATGTCGCTAAGTATTAGTAAATGTAGCTCATGCAACTCGTTGTTGCATTGTGTATTAATGATCATAATCATATCAAAAAGTTTTCTTGTTTTCCTCATTACGGTCGATGTAGTCTGTACGTGGAGCGTCGCTCTCCCGTCCCTGTTATACTAGTACACCCAGTGACTGTAATACTTCTCAGTGTATTCTCGTAAGACGAGTCCTAAGCGTATAGCTCTCTCGAGTGCTCTTCGCGAGCTATTGTTACTGGTGTTCAATCCGTTCGTATGTGAGCCGAAATCGTTTGTGGTCCTAATGCTTGATTTTTTCCTTTATTTTCCGAATACCTTTCTTTTGGGCGCGGTTTCACCATAATGTCTGGTATAACGTGGTGATTACCAAAGTATACCAATCCTGCCTGTATGTTGTTTCTTTCATTATGGAATTTCCGTAGTAGCCGGTCCTCCAGTGAGTTGTGGTTGTCGAAGCTTGCTCCTGGTTCCGCCGTAGGTGCTGCTGTACTGCCCTATTCGTTGATGTTGCATTTGTCTGTTTTACTTGTCGTTTCTGCGTGGTGAACTTGTTTCAAGCGACCTATTTTCTCTGTTTCTAGTTATCTTCACCTGCTCTTGTGACCACGTTGATATCGGATTGCAATGGAAGTAGTTGAATTAAAATCACAAGTGGGTTTCAGGGGAATATCTTTCATGATTATGTGCTCGTGGAAGATCGTGTATTTGCGTGGCGAGTACCCTACTATGGGGCTCAAACGCCTATCGCTCTTAGGAGGGGGAGCTGTCGGTTGGGGTGGGAAGTGCCAGTCACGAGCGTCGAGTGTCTCGTCTGTATCTACTTGACTGGAGTCGTGATATATTGGCGAGGGACGTATGAAAGTGTAGATGACTTGGGGCGTATCCGTCACTGGGTTGATCAATGTTAGGTGGTGTATGTGTAGTTGGTTTGTTCTCTACCATTATGAAATACACTCTTGTTAGTCCGCAGCTTTATGGGCTCTCTACAGAGTGGAATTTTCAAGTACTGTGGTGATGAGGAATGGCCTGAATGCCGCAATTTGGGGTGGGCATTAGCTTTGGGTGGTCTCTTCCTCGGCTCCTTTGAGGATAGAAGTGAGCCCGCGCGAGCCGACCATTGGTAGTATAATGGGTAGCTAGAGGCTCTGAGTGGGGAAAGTGACAGCAGAAGGCATGTCAGGAGTCCTGACTGGATCAAAGTTATCTCTAGAGAAATGCACACAGTATCAAGTGCTGCTGGAGTTCGGCGGGTTAGTATAACGGGTTGCATATTTTTCTTCTGGATCATGTCACGATCACAATACAATTGTTGTCTTCGTGTATCACGGTAATTACTCTCACTACGATATATGATATAGTAGACTTGGCAGTGATAAAGGTGTCTGTTTTATTATATACGTACTACCTTGTTATATGAGAGAATTGCTTATTCGATACCACTTATCGTCCTGGTGGATTTAGTAACTCGTCCTGCGGAGGGGTTTGCCTAGCTACATTGGGACTCTTTCAGTGGGACGATGGATTCCCAAAGGTATTATCAAGTCCAATCTTAATAAGATGTGTCCACTCAGTGTCACTAAAATTGACGGTGTCGTCGTAGCGCTGTGGTGTGAGCGCTCCCACCGTTGGGAAGGGCACATCCTACTGATTATGTCACAGACAGGGAAGGTACAAATTCGAGAGCTTCGACAAAAAGTCCACTAAGCGTTGAATGACGACTCCTGGGAGGATCTCAATGGTTCTGTCGCAGTTTTATTAGGTGAAGTTGGAATTATACTATTGAAAGCATCCTGGGTCATTAGCTTGGTGCATGAGTATAGCAAGTTGCCTGTCATCGCTACCTTACTATCGACAGAAAAGACTATATAGTGAAATCATGTTATTCGAAGCCGACAGCAACGTGAAGGGGTATTCGCATTGAGCGCTATACTGACCCCATCACTGCTCATGACATAGACGAGTGAGCGGTAATATGTACACTATACTACACGAACTCTGTCGGCCATTCGGAGCCGATTTTAGAGTAGTGCGTATCGAATCTAGTAAATGTTCGTAGGAGTACTTCTCATCAATCAAGATATTTCACCAACACTGCTGCCACTGGATTTCAAGCTTGCCTTCCTTCCACTATTGTATGCCGACTTCTTTCCTCGAGTAAATACCATTAGATGGGAGAGGCTACCGTCTATTGTGGGATTTCTTGTCCCCACAAGGCAACCCGAGTATAGCAGTCTTATTAGACGATTTGCGCTGCTCTGAGCTGTTTTTCGAGTGCTCCCAACGTTGGCAGCTGTTTGGTTCACTATACGGGATCTAGGTGGCTGCAGTCATATATCAATCTTATATTATGATGCTCTCAGTAATACCATCATTATCGTCGTCGGGTCGAACAGATAGGATAGCGAGCGGCAGCACTTGCGATACATGTGAGCCGACCTTGGTGCCCTTGGTAGTAGTGACTGAGTTCATGTCAGCGTTGTCGGAGGAGGAGGATGATGATCATCTCAAGTGCATGACGAAGCCGAAGATGCACTCTATCTGTTTCGCTGATGAGGTCCCGGGAAGAGATCAGGAGTTGGCTCAAATCCAATATGTGGAGAGCTTCAAGGTAGTAACAGGTCTCGGGTCGCTCGATAAATTTCAACAATATTCAGTTCGTTTCGAAATTCGGCAGATACATCAGTTAGATTGCTTGTGGACAATTTTTTGTCCAGACTATTGAAATGTTATTGCAACTGGATGATGATATCTGAAACCAAGCAACATGTAACGTCGGCATAATTTCTCAAGGCACACTCCATCTAACACCAAGTGATAGTGAGTGATGATGCATTTCAGTGAAATAAACGTTCTGTTTTGACGAAAGGGTATATACCATGTTACTGTTGTTTTCAGGAGCATAACAGAGCTTTCAACTATAAGCCTGATGTCCCTGTTGCTTCGGAGTTCGTGAATAGGCGTCGTCCCTTTCGTGCGCCACAAAATGTCTCACAAATCATGGCGATGCCCTTCACATCTCCCTCTAGCCGAGGTCGAGAGCTCTCACTTGAGTTAGCTTCCAGCTGTGCATGGAACCGTATGTAACTCTGGTAAAGCACACCGTTATGATGGAAGTAGTAGTAGTACGTACTGGGGTGTCATTCATTATCATATTCCCCGTTAAATGTGCTAGTAAAAAACAATGCAACATTATCTATCGTTATTCACAAGGTATTGCTACATGGAATGCTCTGCTGCGGCACTCCTAAGGCATTCGTCTTGTTATTACGATATCATTTCATTACTGACTCTTATTCATTTGACACCTTCTCTTCACTGAGAGGTCGAGTTCAGCTACTCGTGCTAGGATAGCGCGCGATAGTTGTACTCCGACGCTCGTGGAGGCTCTATCATCATGAGCCAGGGCGTCGCCCCTTACTGATAGTCAGCCTAGTCGTAGTGGTAACTGCAGCAGTGTCACTTATAGTTGGAATTTTGTCTCGACCATCATCCTCTCTTATTAGCCATTGAGTAGTCTTTGGACTGTATACCATTTTAAGGCAATCTGGTTTGCAGTCTATAGAGACGACCGTGTTGTGGCTATACGACGGTGGTGATGGTGATATGTTGCTGCTCTCGCTACTGAGTTCGTTACTCTTCTATCTCTGTATGACGTTACCGTTGAATCACCCAAATGTTGTTGCTCGAGGCAGCTCAGTTCTGATGCAAGGCGATTCAAACTTTATCTCATATCTGAGTAGAAAACCGTGAAGGCGTTGCGTTGGATGTGGGGATGGATTATAATAGGAAGGAACTAAGGTGGGGCTACTCCATCGAATCCATCGAGCGGTTGTGTACTTGTCTGGAGAATGAGGGGTGATTTCAGACGACATCTTCGATGAATTAACAGTCAATGAATGTGTGATGGATATCATCTATAGCTTGTTCTGGAGAGCATTGGATTCGACTGTACGCCAACACGGGCATCTGTCGGGACGATGGTAGTAAGGGTGGGATGATGTGATAGGGAGACGGTATGATGATGGATCTAGCTCTAGTAGTAGTGATAGGCAAATCATCGTGAGATCCACTCATAAGGACTGTTACGTATGATTTATAAAAGAGTAGGTAGTGTGGACACTCCTCCAGTTTGCCTAGGCTGGGATAGGGTTCTCGATATCGCAGGTCTACGAATCAATGGTTTCAATCAGTCCTAGTAGGAGGTGTTAAAGTGTAGGGTATCCGCAGGGAAATATGTGGAGATACTCTTATGAGAGTCTGTCTTCCGATTAACGCATGGATCGGACATGAATTAAAGGACATATTTCCCTTGCAAGAACATATACTTTAGACCCGTGTACGCTGAGAATGTGTAGATATTCCTCACCCATTTGTGTGAGTTCTCACTAGCTACGACGAGTAACGCCCTAAAAATCAGAGGTTATTCCCCATGGGATAGAAGGACACGCTTAAAGCGGTGCTGCACACATCGGAGCGACGATGTATTTGCCGAAAACTGTATATTCTAAGAATCGGTGGAGCCATGATTAGTCTGTATCGCCGCCGCTCTAACCGCGACGATGCTGAGTCATGCCTCCATTATCCGTCTTTGACAGTATATACACAGGACTCATCGTACAAAGAAGCACTAAGAGAAATTGACTCTTATTCGAGGAGTTGGAGTACGCCCATTCCTTGTTGGGTCTGCTCTTATCATGAGCCGCAACAGAGTTCAGCAGTGGCAATGTGTCATCATCATCATCATCACGAACTCCAGCGTCGGCCTAAAGGAATCGTGTACTGTCGAGTTTGAAGTGTTTCATCGGGCGGTACAGCGATTTGCGTAGCTTCTGGCAGCTAGCTCTGAAGGCGTCTGTGGTAGAGAGTCGGTGGTATGCACTTTTCGAATAGATTGTTTATAATCATTCATGTGGGCATCGACCGCTAGAGTGCTGTCCGATCAGCTGTCTAGTCTCCCCTCACGGCTGTCCACACGTAGGAGCAGCTCACGACGTTCTAAGGTGCCATACTACCCTGCGGACCTTTGGGTACCTCTCGTGCCTCAGATATCCCCGTTAGCATCATCGTCACTCTGTCTAGCATCAGCTGCCGCTAGCCTAGTAGCCCTCACCACAACGTCGTCATCATCAACAGTATTGTGCGAGGAGGTTCCGGACAAGAAGGCCCGGCTTGGCATACAAGACGCTGAGCGGTATATATCCAGTGTAGTGCCGCATAGACCTCATTCGGCAGGGAGCAGCTTCGATGTGGTGCAACGTGGAGGGACCGATGTTTTGAAGTAGAAGACCGGAGGGATAGGATCTTTCGTGAAGGGATTTGCTCTCAGATGGCAATACTACTCCGACAACGGTGCGGACCTGTTTTACGCTCTTGTGGATGTACTCATGTCGATAACATCTGGGGAGGAAGAGGGGGACGTGCGGTAAGTATAAAGGGTGGTAGTCCAGCCGGTGCTCAGTTGCCCATCCTAAAGGGCTCATCGTTGACGTCCACGATGGTCATCCAAATTGTTTTGGTTGAGACCGGTTCCTCTAGAACCGATTTTATGACTTTTCCTGTCAGAGTAACTAAGCTGGACGGCTATTGCACCCCTCCACCACGGAAGCTGGCGGACATCCAGGTTGTCTTTGGCCAGCCGGAAAAGCCTCGTGCCACTCTAGATGTATACTCTAATTATCAAGAAGGCACTGGAAGGATGGTCACTACATGGGAGCTCAGTCGGCCTACTGGACAGCTCACTCGGAATGATGTTGATGTGAGTCTAACCATTTACCTTACGTTTTCTAGGAGCTGATTCCCCATAGAAATTGCCGAGACTTTATTATAGTTGTTTTCAAATTTCATGCTTCTTTCGCGGTGTCATATGTAGGTATTACTTCGTGGCCTCACAGAGCATGCAGTATACAGGCCTCGACGCTATAGTGGCACCGTTGATCAGGACTCTGATATTGGTAGGAGGGTCCCCGATGAGGAGGTCTGTTGGGCAGTGTTGGTCAGGGAGGGCCTTTGCTGAGCTATTCGACCAAGTATCTATGAATGAGGACGGACCGCAAGAGGGAGGGGCTAGACAACGTCGCGCGCCACAAAATGAGAGCTCGAGGGAAAAGGCCAAGAGGGAGCTGGAGGAGATGGGCATTGACGTTATCCTACCGCCCGAGGAAGGTGAGCTATGATTCACTTGGTGGCGACTTGGTGTCCTACCATTGTTGTTGAGGTACTACGAGTGATGATGATGTTTGGAAGGGCCTAGTGGGCTACCCCCAGACCAAGGCTAGAGTAGAGGAGACGGTCTTGCTGCAATTGAGGCATCCTGACCTCTTCAAGAGGATAGCTGAAGGGACCCGAGGGGTAGGGCATGGGCATGCATTAGAAGAGCTACGGCCATTATCAGAAAGCGGCTCCTGCTAACAAACCCAAGGTGGTCTTATTCGAGGGCCCACCGGGGACAGGCAAGACGTCAGCAGCGAGGTGATGGGTGGCCTCCATCAGTGGTGCCCTCTCAAGCTAGTGATGTCAGATGTATAGCTGCTGGATGTGGTATACCTCTGGTCTACGTGCCGTTAGAGGCTCTGTTGTCGAAGTGGTACGGGGAAAGCGAGAAGCATCTGTCTAAGGTCTTCCAACTGGCTAGGGACTTGGTCCAGGAAGGTAGGCGCTGCGGTACCGCATAGACTCATCCCTAGGCTCTTCTAGAATTGTGCAATGGCTGAGGTTCCCATAGCTGGCAGGGAATAATGCTGTTATTTGAGAGGATTCTTGTCTGTTCAGACTGCAAGGAAGGCTCGGGAGTGATAGTATTTGTTGACGAGGTGGACACCCTAGCATCCAGCAGGGACGATCCCTCAGGGATGCACGAGGCCAGCAAACGTGTTTTATCAGTGTTATTAAGGTAGTAGCAATAAGCTGTTGGCGACGTGCTTTGGGAGAATCTATATTGGCAACAATGGTCCGACCTGGTATGGGTTATGTACTCTTTTTCTCAGGGAGCTTGATGGCTTCAGCACGCCAGGAAAGGCCAGTGCCATGCTCATTGCTGCTACCAACCGAAAGCAGGATTTAGATCAGGCCTTCGTGAGTCGGTAGGGAGGTCGCGGGTTCGATCCCCGCACTTGTCATTGGCTCTGTTGTAGAATCGACACGTCAGTCGAGTTTGCTCTACCAGATGAGGCCAGCAGGGCTGCCATATTCGGCTTATATGCCCGGCAGCTATCTCAGAAGGACTGCGAGCAGTTGGCCAAGGTCTCGTCAGGTGAGGTCACTTGCCACAAGTATGGGGGAAATATGCACATGGTCAGCTACATGTGTTGGTGACAATATGAATATTATGAAACAATTTCGGGAAATTTTCATTGAAAACAAACATATATTCCAACACTGCTAGTAAACATGGTCCTGTATTAGGTTTGAGTGGACGTAATATCAAAGATGCATGCCAGGATGCCGAGAGGAGATGGGCGGCAGCTAGGTTCAGAGAGCTCTCGAAAGAGAAATGTATAGAGGCGCCATTCCTCGGGATGGACTGAGGGTTCTGATGATAGCGCGGATCGATCATCCTGGATGGGGTCGTGGATGCCATTTTGAGACTCTCCTTCAGAAACCCCTTGATGACGCTACAGTGGGTCTACCTGATCGTTCAACATACGAAGCTTGTGTGAGAGAGAAGAGACAACAGCAACGTAGTGCTAGAAGGAGTAGTACTGAGAGAGCCCAAATACCTCTATTATACACTGCCAATTGAGCAGTTCATATTTATACCAGATACCACACTGCTGTTTCTGAAACTATCCTCTCCTGTGTTCAGTCATCTGCCTTCAAGCGGCCTGTCCTTTCATGTCACTGTGGATTGATCAGGTTGTCCATTAGGGAATGGGTCGTCGATTGAGTGTTGGTTGATGTGGGCATGAAAGTTAATATTTTGATGTCATTCTTCTTGAAGAAGTCGCCAGCACAGCTCCTTCCGGATAAAAATTGTCTGGAAGGTCGATCGTTCAGGATACCTAAGGCACCGTCGAAGGTAAGCTCCGCTTCAACGAAGACGACTGAGGGGTGACTCATGTGATTGTGAACTCAGGATTCCGTGAACTTTGTTACGGGCAATCCAATGTATGGTCCTTGGCCTGTCGCAATGGAGCAGGCCTTGTTTGGAATGGGCTGCTTTTGGTGCTCTGAGGCTCTCTTCGTGGACATGAAAGGGGTCTTCTCCACACAAGTAGTGTCCTCCCCAACCGCTTCTTATGGAAAGTCGTTTAAGAGTATTCTCTTAGGTAGGATACGCCCAGGGTAAGACGCCTAACCCTACTTACGAGGAGGTATGCAGCGGGCAGACGAATCATTCGGAAGTCGTCCGAATAATATACAACCCGAAGACTATCACGTATAAGGACCTGCTTAAGGTGACACACAGTTCTCTGAGGAGTAGTAGTATGATGATGTATAGCAAGGTCTTCTGGAGCGGTCATGACCCTACTGTCCCTATGGCACAAGGCAATGACTGTGGCTCGCAGTAAGTACATATGGCTGGGAGGTGGTCGAGTCCATCCTGGTCAGGTATAGGAGTGGTATATATTATTATAATGAGGAGCAGAAGGGCGAGGCACTGGAGAGCAAGTGAGCGGGTTAACGACTCTTCCGTTAGCAGCTTCTCATCATTCAGAGAGGAGTACCAAGCAGCTCTTTCCAAAGCCGGTATGAAGAAGACTATAGTGACCGAGATAGAGCCGGCCGGGGAGTTCTATTATGCTGAGGACTATCACCAACAGTACGGTTCCACACTCTTATTACCACCCAGTGCATTCTATGCTAGATACAGTTCAAAGCCAGGCTCGAGGCAGTACTGTGGACTCAGACCGTTAGGTGTGGACTTCCCACGACTAAATGCTTCCTAATTCTGGTTGACGAGTCGCTGTTCTATTTTATATCGCTATTAGTAAACGGCTAGAAGCCTATTAATGACCTGAAGGCCACTAGCTCACACATGGGCTGCTTTTGTTAGCAGTTCCCTCATCCTCGATGTTGCGCTATTCCTGTCATTATCTACCGTCTCCCTTCCAAGCCTCTTATGTTCCCTGGAATGTCCCCTAGGTGCTGACGTCACTACAGGAGAGCCACGGCTCCCTCTCTAGCCCGACCCGAGCGGGCATTGAGATGGCTGATTCAGCGGAACATTTGAATGCTCCAGACGGTACTGGAGACGATGGTGAGGCGAGGGGGAGAAGCATCAAGACTCGTGATTCCCTCGAGTGAGTAAAAGCTCCTCAAAACTTGTGGCGAAGCTCTCTCTAGTGGATCCATTCGTAGTCCTTCTCGAAGAACAGCTACCCATCATTGGTTCAGTCGACTGGGACAGGAGACCAGGTGACTTCCTCTGAGACGCCCCCTATGCTCTCGGAGGCCCTAGAGGATTGTTCGGTGACCGTCTCCTCGATGGTTGCCTATTCACCTATCTAGAGAAGGACACGACGGTATTTTGAGCTGAACACTGTTCAGTGAACAGCTTTGTACTTTCCGTCTTGGAACCTTATTCAGGCCTTCTCTGTATTCACACCTCCTCCGTATTCAGACCTTCTCCGCCAACAAAGGTGAATGCCATCGCTGGTTTGGGTAGACTTGATGTAGACGTGTTAGCAATTCGATGAGCTCTGCATTGTGTTAATCAGTAAACACTGCCACAACGAGCAGGAGGTATAGATCAGACCATCACATTTCCCTCACAAGATCTACTCTTCACCTTGGGGCTGTACCCGACGCACGGAATACTAGCAATGTCACGGCGAACCACACGAGCTGCGCCTCCAAGTTCCATGACTCAGGTGGTCCCCACTGCACCCTTCTCGGCGTCTGACTCAGTGGAGGGGCTCTTCTTCCCGAAGGACTTAGTCATGTAAGCTATCATTCTTTTCCCACAGAGGTTTGCAACAGCTGCAGATCGACTCACTCATTGTTATCTGATGTACCACTAGCGTCGATGAACAAAGGACGCTGATGAAATCTCTGTTCAATGAAATCACTGTACCCACCGTCGTTCTTCACTATAGGGTCCACATAATCGATCTAAGCACTCCACTGCTCAATTTCTCATACTTATTATAAGACAAGACGGGCGCCATCAAGAGCGTGGACTGAACTCAAGGATAGGAAGTTTGACTTTGGAAACGATACCAACTATCAATTGTCGAAGGAACATAGATGGTGCCCGCACGGCATCGTCATATTCTGACGCTACTTGATAAGAGACACTGAAACCTGAGTAGTGTTAGTATAAACAGTTAGTCTAAGCATCATCCAGAAGTGAACGAAGACGAGAGAAGGAGTGATGATATACTCCGCTCTAGTCGCCAGCACGGCGAGTTACCATCTTCATATCATTTAAACGGAACTACCACAGAACGTCCCGTTTCTTAATACAACGGGAGCCGATTCTGCGACAAAAACGATCGATGATTAGAAATCAACAATCGATTGGTAGCCGCCAGCTCCCATTATTAACAGACAGAGGAGAGTGAGGGCACCGAGAAGGCTCATCTCGAGTCGACTTGCCTTCCAAACAGCCTTCAATGATCCCTCGTTGAATACACGTATTCTAGTATAGAACAAGGCAGGGAGGACTCCAGCCATAGCTATCATGGTAAACACACCCATGAGATTAATGAGCTTGTCAACACTGGGGACAACAATTGCAATGACCAGGGCGATTCCAACCAGGAAGGTGCGAGCGATGATTCTCTTGATGAGATCGCGCTTCGCCGTGCTGTCAACATCGATATTGAAAGCGTACTCCAGAGAGGCGGCGATCGGCATGAGGATGACCAAGAAATGAGGAAACGCCAATAGAAGCATGGCGATCACTGCAATGTACCCCCATACATCAAGTGGCTGGCCAGGCGGAGCGATGCTGTTCATTATAGGAACTTCAATGAGGCTCCTGCCATAGCCGTAGTAGCCACAGGCACCGACACCAACGTAGATGACGAAGACTATAAGGAGACCAGCAGAGGCTGCCTTAGGGAAAGCGGCAGGTGTGATCATCTCACGAATGAGGGTGGGCGTAGCACTGGCCATTTGATAGGAGAGAATGGCGTTACCAAAGGAGACGGCCCATGTGAGAGCATCACCGTTGAAGAGATCATAATCAATAGGCTCATCAGTAGTGATGCCATTCTCAATGCCCTTGGCTGCGATAATAACGAAAAGCGCTATGACACCAACCAGACCAACAATGGCAACATAGGAGATCTCCTTGAGGGATCTCAGCCAGGAGAAAGGGAGGCAAATGGCAGCCCAGATGACACACCATACGGTAACAGAAAGCCCTGGAGCCAACTTCTGGGTATTCTCGCCCAGCAGAAGAAGGAGAGTGGCACAAACTCCGGTCATGGTGGCATGAACAATAAGGGCTGTGATGATCTGACCAGCTCGACCAAAGCAGACTCTGCCGAGCTCCTCATAGGTGTTGATAGGATCTCCCTTGGGGTGATTCGTGACGGCTTTGTAGAGGTTGCAGACCATATAGTCCGACAAGGCAGCAGCGACGAACAGGACGAGAATGCCGCCAATCCAGCCACAGGTGGCCATGACGGTCGGAAGGGTGATGACACCCAAACCTGCAAGAAGAAGGCAGTCTCGAAAGCACAAGCACAGCCGCATATGTTCTTACCAATGGCTGTCAGTACAATGTTGATGATGGATCGAACATTAGAACACTTATGAGAGTTCTCCTCACTAGCATCGTCTACTGCTGCTGCTGCCTTATAATCTAAGGAATCGCTTACGGTTGAGTCCTCCGAAAGCTTCGTGGAGGAGGCCACAGAGCCTAGATGATGATGATCTTGATTATCAGCAAGGCTCATACAGCCAGGAACAAAGGAAAGAAAAGTAGTAAGCCTAATAACGGGACTACTCATTCCTAAAAGGTCCCAACACAAGGAGAGGGAAACCAAACGCGAGGAGAGGGAGGGGAAACTTAGTGAATAACGACCCGAGCTCAGGCATGGGAGTGTGAGACCCGCACAGAATCACATTCCATACCCAAAAGTGTCGATATAGGAAGTAACACGTAAAAGAATGAACACGTATGCTACCAACAACAACAACAACTCTCCACAGCCTGGGTCTCGATGGGCTCAGGCAGACAGGCGACGAAAGTACAAGTTCATAGAGGCCATAGGCCCCGCTGGAACTGAGGTGGGGAAGTAAACAATAGAACAATAAGGAACAGAATTGCGAACCACCCAGGGCAGGATGGCTCTGGCTATACCACACATCCGTCACATCAGCCCCTCCACGCGGGACCTCTCAGCATGAAAAAGACATGAAAGTCAAAGTAATACACCGACTGTTGCCTACCTTAGAAGGTGACGATTGCCACATAACCTCCTGCGCCCATGAGGAGCAGGCATAGGAGAGTGAGGAATAGGATAATAGACATTTCGATCCAGTTCGACTTAACCACAGCCGCGAACGAACCTTCGTTGAGAACCTTCATCCTTACATAGAACAAAGCAGGGAGGATAGCTGCCATAGCGATCACTGTGAAGACACTCATAAGGTTTATAAGGTTATTCACACTGGGCACTGTGATGGCAATGACGAGAGTAATGGCGACCAGTATAGTCCGAGCCACAGCCCTCTTGATGAAGTCGCGCTTTGACGAGCTCTTTATTTCTATCTTCACCGCCTCTTCGAGGGACGCAGCGATGGGCATGAGCAGGACTAGATAGTGAGGGAAGGCTAGGGCCAGCATCGACACAACCAGGGCATATCCCCAGGCATCCAATGGTTGGTCCGGTGGGGTTATGCTGTCCAAGATGGGCACTTCTACGAGACTTCGACCATAGCCGTAATATCCACAGGCACCAACACCAACGTAGATCGAGAACACAATAAAGAAACTGATAGACGCCACCTTGGGGAAAGCCGAGGGTGTCTTCATCTCGCGAAGTAGGTTGGGAGTAGCACTGGCGATCTGATAGGACAGTACTGCATTGCCGAACGAGATAGCCCAGTTGAGAGGATCCTGGCTGATGAGATCATACTCAATCTCCTCGTCTGTGGTCACTCCGTGTACAATACCATTGGCGGCAATGATGACGAAGAGAGCTATGATGCCCATAAGGCCTACAATAGCGACGTAAGACATGTCCTTGAGGGACCGTATCCACGATAGAGGAACACATATAGCTGCCCAGATGACGCACCATACGGTCACTGAGAGCTCCGGAGCCAACTTCTGGGTATTCTGGCCTAGAAGGAGGAGGAGAGTGGCACAAACTCCGATCATGGTGATGTGAACAATAAGGGCTGTGATGATCTGACCAGCTCGACCAAAGCAGACTCTGCCGAGCTCCTCATAGGTGTTGATAGGATCTCCCTTGGGATGATTCGTGACGGCTTTGTAGAGGTTGCAGACCATATAGTCCGACAGGGCAGCACCGAAGAAGAGGACAATAACACCGCCGATCCAGCCACACTTGGCCATGACAGTCGGAAGGGTGATGACACCCAAACCTGACAGGAAGAGCGCTGTTCCTATGCCGGCGGAGAAAAGAAGCCACAAAGGATAAAATGTGTCGTTACCAGGAATAGAACTCACGTCCATCCACAGACTAAACGACACTCCTAACCTCTGCACCACTAACCCCTATTACCTATAGCTGTGAGAATGATATTCAAAATGGACCGGAGGTTAGAGCACTTCCCATCAAGAGAGTCTTCACTAACATCACTAACGACCTTCTTATCTGAAGAATCATCGCTCACTGAAGGCGTTCGGTCTACTTGGCTCATTAGGGCCGAGTCAAAGAGAAACTAAAACCCACTTGTCGAGGGACAAGCCAACCCGACCTCAACCACCGACCCAACGCAAGAGAATTTAATACTAATTCACAGACGAGATGTAATGTTAGATCACAATGAGCCACGCCTGTGGAGCGACGCTCGCTGATAGGGAAACTCAAAAACCAAAGTCGATACTGTCAATACGAGATGCCGCTGCCAAGTTTTGAACCTGCGCATATAGAGTTCCCGCACAGAGGAATCCACATCCGCGTTGCCGGTTCATTCAATGTTGTTTTTCAACGATTATAGCTGGGTTAAATCGTCACGATTAGGAGATGATGAGGAAGTGCTCGGACTAGATAGACTGCTCGTTTCCTTTCGCCCTCTTTCAGAAGTGACCTCGCTCCTGCTGCGAATTCGTAGAGTCGGCAGCTCCTCTTGAATATGATTTTCTAGTGCATCCCCTGGGAGCGTTAAAGCAGTTTCCGTAGCTAGGGAGGCGGCCAGGGACGTCGGAGTATCTCCTCTGAGGGACAAACAACCCTGCTACAAGTTCGCCCATAGTTGCATTGGGATTATATGTTATATTACACTACATATTCAAATCTATATTACATTTCACCGTGATATGAAAACACTAGTGAGAAAAACATATTCATAAACCACAACACGAATACCAATATTACAAACCTAGTCATAGTCCTATGATCCTCTCTGATGCTCTTGACCAGAGCGTCAACAACAACCGATGAGGATTCTCCCATGAAGATAACTTGCCTACCCAGACAGGCTATCAGTAGTCCATGTCCTCTCATACTCCAACTCGCATTTCGGTGTTCTATTATCACCGCTCCGCCGTCTCTCTACTCGAACACGCCTCGCAACACGCTTGTAAGAATACGGCAATGGTCTACCATGTATACGTACTAGTCTTGAAACATGACACTATCACTTCTTACAATCTTTGCTTGAGGGTATTATAAGTGCAGCATTCCAACTCGACATGGGGGCCTAGAGCAGCCCTGACGAGGACGAGACCAGCGGAGACGAACACAGCTGACTCATCGTCACAGATGAACATCACACGTGGCACTGCCGTGGATGGTTGAAGTGATGCCGATGCTAACCTGAAGAGTATAATATACTAAATATGTGAAGTGAGGGAAATCGAGGAGATAATGAGTGTATACTCAACACCTAGCCCGAGACGGACCCGGTATCAAGCCAACCCACAGAGATTAATGATAGCACTGGCGATCTGAGAGGTGGGCTTACCCGATGAACTCCTGTATGATGGACATCACAAACTTGCAGCGGACGGCCTTGGCAACGGTCGAGGGTAACTTGATGGGATCCTCAAGGGCCGCCGGGTTATACATACAATCAACCATGATTAAGTCAATCTCTGAGAGGAAAGCGATACTCCACAAGCTTGGCAATAACAAAGCACCGCACTACCATCCATACACGGCTGTAAGCGGGAGGTCGATGGCCCGGATATTCCCCGCAGATGAACCCTCTTCCTCAACGATGTCTCCCGCAAGCTGCGGGCAAGAGGGGAATTGCCGGGGTCCAAGGTGACAAGAAGGACCCCTGGTCGGTAGGCCTCGGTATCTGATGATGCGGAAGAAGTGGAGAGGAAATACGCAGTAGGGAAAGTCGATTACCTTCAACCGGTCCGCCTGATATGATCCATTCCAGAATGAATGTTTCTATGACGTCTTGAAGGAAGTCTAGGAGTTGAGAAAGTTGTGGTATGAGCAAGACCAGCAAAGATACCCAAAATTTGAGCCAGTAAGAGAGCCAATACACTATCGAATAGCACCACTGTATAGCAATGGAGAGCACCTAAGGGGTCATCATGGTGACCACATGAGGAGTTGGTCATTCCTTACAGAGATAACCCACTTGGACATGACCTCTGTCAGAGAAGTGTCGTTACTAAGAAACTGAAGGGAACGGTAAAGGGAGAGATCCTTGTACGGTAGCCGCTTACACTCCTAAGGCTGATATATGCATCGACAACTGCTTCCTCAACGCATCTACGGCCCGAAAACACATCCAAGAGTTCGCTGGGGAGGACACCATGGCAGACCAATGACCAGAAGGAGGACGGATGGGAGGGTTTGGCGGATGACCCTTGGGGGGCGGACGCCATGTTGATATTATTAAGACAAACTAAATATGCGATATCTCCGATCTGCCAAAATATCCTGCATATTCGGAATCATGTTCTTCGGCGACCTTCCCCGGAGTCCCCTGCCAGAGGAGTGCCCCCGAAAGCCATTCCGATAACGGTATATGCAGGGGCCCTGTAGTCCATAAGGCTCTTATCCTCAGTTCAAGCACGTGGGGTATCCCGAAGACTACTAGCGTACCACTGATTACTGCCATAGCGGAGAGATTACTTCTAACTGAGACCGGCTGGGATGGTTCGCCGACTAGACAACTACCCGAGTCGAGCTACGAGAATCTGAGAACCCCCATGCAACCCGCTCGCGAAGGTTCGAATCCCACAGGGCGCATTTCCGACGTCGTTGCGAGGAGATGTGGGCATCTACAAAGTGACTAAGTACAAGAATAATTACATGCAAGTCGTGCACTGGGCGGAGCGATGCAGTCCTTGGCACAGTAGAAGATTTCAAAAACGCATCACAAGAGAGCACTCCACCTTTTCCGAAGTTTTTAAGGAGCGTGTTCACTGAACGCAACTCTGTGATTACTCCGGAAAACCGCGTATGGGGTCCTGGCAGTGAAAGTCCTACATAAGACTGCACTTGTCACAAGCCCACTGAAGTCTAAACATCGCTTGTAGTTACCACTATAGTGGATCGTACCATGGCGGCCTCTAGGACCTACAAGGTGACTCGCGAAGTAGTGCATCTGCTGGCCGGCAAGATGAATAGGGATGGTCGTACGGTAATGCAGTCATATCGGCTCTGAAGAGACCTCTCCCATAGGTAACCCCCGATGACAGACGTGGGATCCTTCGCTTGGTGGAGTGTGACGATGGGTGCTTGCGGGTCGAATTCGTCCTGAGGTAAGCGTGGTAGTATGAATAGTATTAGTTGGGGCTACTCGTTATCAGGTCGGACGGTTGTGATGTCGACTCTACAGGACCTGAGGAGTCTTTCGTGGCTGATAAAGGCGATAAGTAGGTGAAGTCTCTCGGGCGTCTCAAGAGGAGTTTCTATCTACCTACCTCAACGACTCGTTTATCGATCCCCCTCAGACTGGACCCAGTCCCCCAGTGCACCACCGGACGAGTTTACGTCCTTCGAATCAAAGACCAGCGACATTTGTACTACTCAAGGAGTCGTGTCTCTTCCTCCACTGGATGGTAGGTATTGGATGCAAGCCGAGGATGCCACTGATGAGCCTCGTTTGGTGGTTAAATTTAATAAGGCTCTCGACAGGGCCCAGAGTGAGCCTGATCAGGATGCTGTGATGGAGGGTAGTCCCATTGGCCATCCCTCTATAGCAGTGTTCTCCTCCTCCTCAGAGGCCGCGCCCCCACCACCGACTAGTATCCCCTTCCCTTCAAGGTAGTTGGCTCTTGCTGTCGATTAGGGTCTCCGGTTCACCACCCAGGTCCACCTCTTCTTCCTCTCAGCAGGGCGGCGGCCTCAGCGTAATGGATAGACTCATGGCCGAACAGGACGACTTCAGACCAACTGAGGAGCAGTAGGTTACCTCTCCTCCTCCTCCTCCGGGTCGGCAAGTTCCCTGCCAGATTCGCCCAGGCTGCAGCGTTTTGGATCTTAGCCCATCGGTTGGACGAGGCAGGGGTGCGAGTTCGTCCTAGGGTAGAGAGGAGGGGAAGCAACTGACCCGTCGATACAGCGGTAGTCAACGTCAGATTCACCCGACACCGCTGCGTAACGTCTTGACTAAGGAAGTGTTGGCAAAATTGGCTGAAGACCCGGAAGGTAGAAGGGCCCGTCTCTTAATACTTACTGTCTGCTCAATTACTCTCTTATGGCTCCGTGTAGAATATTAAGTCCGCACTCTCTATTACACGGGCTTTTGTCTGATATCGTGGGTCCGCACTTATGTGTAGAAGGGCTTTTGTCTGATATCGTGGGTCCGCACTTACGTGTAGAAGGGCTTTTGTCTGATATCGTGGGTCCGCACTTACGTGTAGAAGGGCTTTTGTCTGATATCGTGGGTCCCCACTTACGTGTAGAAGGGCTTTTGTCTGATATCGTGGGTCCGCACTTACGTGTAGAAGGGCTTTTGTCTGATATCGTGGGTCCGCACTTACGTGTAGAAGGGCTTTTGTCTGATATCGTGGGTCCCCACTTACGTGTAGAAGGGCTTTTGTCTGATATCGTGGGTCCGCACTTACGTGTAGAAGGGCTTTTGTCTGATATCGTGGGTCCGCACTTACGTGTAGAAGGGCCTTTGTCTGATATCGTGGGTCCGCACTTACGTGTAGAAGGGCTTTTGTCTGATATCGTGGGTCCGCACTTACGTGTAGAAGGGCCTTTGTCTGATATCGTGGGTCCGCACTTACGTGTAGAAGGGCTTTTGTCTGATATCGTGGGTCCGCACTTACGTGTAGAAGGGCTTTTGTCTGATATCGTGGGTCCCCACTTACGTGTAGAAGGGCTTTTGTCTGATATCGTGGGTCCGCACTTACGTGTAGAAGGGCTTTTGTCTGATATCGTGGGTCCGCACTTACGTGTAGAAGGGCCTTTGTCTGATATCGTGGGTCCGCACTTACGTGTAGAAGGGCCTTTGTCTGATATCGTGGGTCCGCACTTACGTGTAGAAGGGCTTTTGTCTGATATCGTGGGTCCGCACTTACGTGTAGAAGGGCTTTTGTCTGATATCGTGGGTCCGCACTTACGTGTAGAAGGGCTTTTGTCTGATATCGTGGGTCCGCACTTACGTGTAGAAGGGCTTTTGTCTGATATCGTGGATCCCCACTTACACAATATCTTCCCCAGGCAACAAGCAGTTGAAGGACCAGATCCCTGAAGGGCACACCCTTAAGGATACCATCACCAGTGCTCAGTTCTATCAGGCTATGGGGCGTATGGATGAGGCCATGTAGTATAGTGGACGGCCTTCGCAAGCAACTCTGCTGCTCAGTGGCTGACGCTTGTCTCCCTCTGAATTAGATACTCGGAGAACGTCCTCGCCCTTTTCCAGGCTTTAGAGCTGGATGCCTCTGTATTGGACTCCCACGCTGACCGTAAGATCTCCTCGATGCTTTCTCGTTCCAATATGGATGCTGTTTGTCAGCCTTTGAAAGCCTTTGTGAAGCTCTGGAGAAGAAGTATAGGGAGGAGGGGTCCTCTCAGCCTTCTGATACTGCCCAGAAGGCCGATGAAGATATGCCAAGTGCTGATTAAGTGTTTCCAATACTGAGTTCTTCTGGAGTTGAGGTTCCTTTCCGAATATTGTGGTCGAAGGTATGTGAGTGGTAGTTTCTGCCAGAAACTTTGAGGGTCGTTGATTGACCATAATGAGGAGGTACCAGTAGTGTGCTCCTAGGATGCCGAGGAAGGGAGGATGTCGGGCTAATTTGAACCATTATCTACTGCTCGGTATCCAGGAGCTAACATCTCGACTGCGACCATGTGCCGATCGGTTCACTCGGTGGTGACTCTCACTTCGAGCTCGACTGCTGTTGTCACACGCCATCGCGGGAGAATTCCCTGGTTAACTTCGTTTTATGGCTTAATACTGTCTCAGTAGTGGAGATATCACATTTCCTTTAATGGAAGCTTCCACCATATCGAAGCCTCCGACAGTGGCGGAAGAGGTGCCTGATGAGAACAGCGTTAGAGGACGTAAGACAGTAGCCATGGTTAAGAGCGAGCATACTTGGCGGAAACGGAAGAACTTCACCCCTGTACGGGTAACCTTCCTAGAGCCTCTCCGTCATCTTCTCTAGTCGCGAAGCTTTTTAGAGGGACCAACTTTCCAAGCGAGGCAGGACGAGCCCTCGGAATAAGAATAGTAGTAGTAGTAGGAGGACGCTCCTCTGTGTGGGAATGGGCACCGCCGTTTAGGTGCCCAATCTATCAGAAGGTTCCTTGCCCCCGTCTCGAAGCCTAGCAGTACCACTACTGGGGTGTTACCACTTACTTTGGACATTCGTGGGGTTCACGTTAACTTCTTAGACGGCGCCGAGCTCGCCGGTGATGGAGCTTGTCGAGTTCCCCTGGGCAGGGGCAAGGTCCAGTGACAGTGGGGAGGCCTCTGATTCGAAGGGCTCGATGGATGACGATGAACTATCGCTTACTGCTCATGACATTCAAAAGTGGGCCGCCCCCTGGGGTGGAGGGCCGTGTCTATTGGGAGTGGTGTCAGGCTGAGGAGGGAGCTGTTGGACTGTCAGTCCTTCAACGAGAGCCTTATTGGGGAACGCGAGAGGTAGAAGACGTTGTCGGTGCTCAGGACTGGGGAGATCCCTTGTCAAGGCACATTCAAGAAGTGAAGGACTTCAGAGACACCCTCAAGCGAGCTGCGGCTAACATGAGGGAAATACTCAAACAGATGTCACAGTACGTGCTGGGTTAGCGACTGAGTTCACCGGTGTCGGTGTACCTCAGGCGAATGCATTTGGAAAACAAAAAGGAGTTGCAGCAACAAGCTGAACGGTTAGGGAAGCTCATGCCGTCTACTAGGAGGTGGGCCGAGCCTATTGAGTCGAAGAGATACCATTGTGTATGGGCTCAGTGCCACTGGGCATCACTGGAAGGGGGGTACAGAGGAGAAGAGCATTCTGGATGCCCATAAGAGGCTACAGTCCTTTAAGGCACAGCTGGACGAGGAGAAGACACAGTATAGGAAGTAGTAGACCTGCTATAGTGGAAGTCGATAGGAGTGGGCTAACAGGCTCTTGAGAATACGCCGAGCTCGTGCGAATACGGAGGGTAACGCCACTGCCGCACCTGAGGTCTCTTCCTCCTCGTCTGCTATGGTCCAGGATGAGGACACTAATACTAAGATACTAGGGTTGGCGGATGTGAGGTGTTCGTGAGGAGGGATGTTGATGAGCTTGGTGAGGTTTAGATGCTGCCCACTGACGAGGCTGAATACCAGATCCACGAGGCTAAGGAGAATATACAAATGATGGAGATGACGCTGAAGAAGGTCATTGTTGTTGTCACTCCAGCGTTGTGTGTTTATGTTGTTGTTGTTCTCTTGGATAGACGGAAGCCGACTTGGTAGAGCGGGAGAATCGACTGCATGCCGAGAGGACGTTGTTCAACAAGGAGCTCAGGACCTGCAACTCCCATGAGCAGAGTGCTTTTGGCAACTACCCCTGTCTGGGGAAGAGCACTGACGGCCTCCTTCCGGGGAGGTGATTGTTGCAGCAGTGGTTCAGGGATTGGCAACTGTAATAGCGACACTGGGGGATCAGGTACCAGTTGATGACCATGATTGGAAAGGGCGGATTCTCGGAAGTATTCAAGGCTTATGATTTGGAGACCCACAGGTCATATAGTTGGCTTGTTCAGTAGGGTCTCGGAGGACGGCTGTTTACTCTTAGTTATGTCGCTGTGAAGATCCACCAGATTCGCCCAGACATGACCGAGGTGGCTCGTGAGGCTTATGTTAGACACACATGGCGAGAGTGAGTCGCTGTGGGGCTCTCGGTCAGACACTAGGGTGAGGCTAGGTATGGTATTCACAAGAGGCTGAAGCACCGTCGAATTATACAGTTGTACGACTACTTCCCTATAGACTGCCATTCCTTCGGTACAGTCCTCGAGTAAGGTCCTACGGTCCTAGTCTAGCTGGGTGGGCATGACTGGTCCTTGTTGAGGTTCTGTGAGGGCGTTGATCTCGACACTTACCTGAAGGCTCATGGGCCGATACCGGAGAAGGAGGCCAGGGGCATCATGGTCCAGGTCTTCAGTGGACTGCGGTATGGACCCAGCATGAACGTTGACCACAGTATGGCTGCACGTAGATACATGAACAGTGCTGGTCATAAGATCATTCACTACGATTTGAAGCCAGGGAACCTCATGTAAAGTGAGTACGGCATTTGCTGAAGGGATAGCTCGTGCAGGTATTACGAGGGGAATATTAAAATAACGGACTTTGGTTTGTCGAAGCAAGTGGATCAACATCAAAACCACGACACGGTGGAGCTCACCTCTCTCGGCACTGGGACGTAGTCTGGTAGTGGTCCTGGACTGCTGGTCACGTTTGTCATGCAGGTATTGGTACTTGCCTCCTGAATGCTTCGACACTTCGGCCGCTAAGATCAGCAATAAGGTGGACGTTTGGAGCTGCGGCGTTATATTTTATGAGCTGCTATTCGCGCGGAAGCCTTTTGGTGAGTCGCTCAAGTCGGCCGCCTTTTGTATGATGTCATTCAGGTCATGGGATTAGTCAAGATCATCTTATAAGAGCTGGGACGATCAAGAACGCTCATGGCGTGGAGTTCCCTCAGAGCGGTCGGGTCTCGAAAGAAGCTAAGGTTGGTCAATACTCATTTAGTCTCTTTGCTGGAGTTATCTCCTGCAGAGCTTCATTCAACGGTTACTAATTTACGATCGTCAACTACGGCCCGATGTCATCGAGGCTGCTAATGATCCCTACATACGACGCGTATAGTAATGATATATACTCTTTTACAATGCAGAAGGAAGACTGTGAGTCATATTAGTTGTCTATCGTACTATTTGCAATCACCTGCAGCATGCAATAGAATGATGCTTCTCAATACAAGATCGTATATTGAGTTTATCAGTCCGTATCGGCACTAGGTTATTTCGAAGGTGATTGTATGTAGTCATTGAAAGCAACACCTTTTTCTGGTTGTGGGTATTGCCACAGCCGTGCGTTCTCCAGCTGGGCTACGTTGGAATGCCGTAATAGGGCGACGTTTTTTGGTTTTAATGACAGCATCCGTGGCGGATACAGAGGGAAGGGTTGCCTCAGACATCGGGTCGGAGGATCGGCAACAGTCTACGATAGCATGTGAAGGAATGGGTAAGGTGGAGCTGCTATAGATGAGGCCCGCCTGAGTGTTGTGTTTGTCTAGGCGATGCTGGTCATGCTCTCGTGGAGGGCGAGAGATTGTCTACCTCAGTGGTGACCACACCGCAGAATCTAGTGAAGGAAGAGGAGAACGCACGTGCCCAAGGAGATTTCGAAAAATTCCGAGGTCAGTATTGGCATCCTTTGAACTGGTAGCCGATCGAAGTGTTACCGCAGACTGTTTTGATCGTGATGCGATAGCAAATGGATCTGAGCAAGCGAAGATATGTTTGAAAATGCTCGCGGAGGGCTTAAGATGCCCCGATGAGTAAGTTGTGGTGGACCAAAAATACTGTCACAGTGTCACTGTGGTTGAAAAAGTCTCTAGGTGTCTCGGTTGCGGAATAAGGTGATCTGTTCTTCTAGTGCTCTTGGTAGGTACTGGGCACAAACGAAAGAAGTACTGGTGGAAAGTTTGAAGGGCGGTACATCCTGCCGGGACCAAGCCACTGATACTCCCAATGCGCTGAAGCAACGACAATGGATCTATGGGCGCCTGAGCTCCCTTCCCGTACCACCGAAGAATGGCTTGCAACGGTTGGCTGAGTGCTGTCTTGACGAGTCGACGTGGCGGGGCATAGACAAGTGGACCTTCGCTGTACTGCGTTGCATGAGTAGCGTGGATATTCCTGAGGACTCTCGACCTTGTCGGTCACCCAACACGAGCGGAAGAAAACGGAAAGTTGAGCAGCGGGAAAGCACGTTATAGCAGCAACTCATCTCTACAGGCTAGCATCCCCTCCCATTCTGTAATCAACATTTCACTGGTATAGTAGGTGCACCGATTGTTTTGTTGGATAAGTGGTAGAGTCCTCATAAGAAAAGTATACTATGGAAGACCCTGCTCTAAACGGAACTAGGCGGGTACCGACAACCAGCGGTATCAACTCTGATGTTTTCAGAACACAGTAACTGTGTCACAGTTGTTGTAAGTGCCTAAGCCGGACTGGTACGGCGTTGCGGTTACATCACTAAGTCTGTCGCCAACACACTGTTGGGACCACCTCTACGAGAGGCATTCACAGCGAGCTCAATCGAGCCATCCTCCACAATGAATCTCATTAAATTTATATACCCTACCCGAGGATCGAACTCGGAATCTCCACCTTAGGAGGGTGGCGCCTTATCCATTGGGCCAGCAGGGCGATGATTCAACTTCGGATCATGTTGATGTCTGTGACTGTTTCGCCGATTACATGAGTGATTACTCTACCTCTCGAAAATTCCTTGATGGAAATTTTGCGAAAGTTTAAAGGGCACCCCCGGATTTGAACCGAGGACCTGCTGATCTGCAGTCAGCCGCTCTGCCACTGAGCTACACACCCACACACACAATTCGACTAGTCCTCCATTTGACCTATTTTCATTCAAAATTTCACTCCTCACTGTGTCGTTTACAGCCAGCTCAATCGAGTCGTCCTCTAATGATTCTCACTAAACTTATCTACCCTACCCGAGGATCGCACTCGGAATCTCCACCTTAGGAGGGTGACGCCTTATCCATTTGGCCAGCAGGGCGATCATTCAACTTCCGATCATGTTGATGTCTGTGACTGTTCCGCCGATTACATGAGTGATTACTCTACCTCTCGAAAATTCCTTGATGAAAATTTTGCGAAAGTTCAAAGGGCACGCCCGGATTTGAACCGAGGACCTGCTGATCTGCAGTCAGCCGCTCTACCGCTGAGCTACACACCCATGCACAGAATACGACTAGTCCTCCATTTGACCTATTGTCATTCAAAATTTCACTCCTCACTGTGTCGTTTACAGCCAGCTCAATCGAGTCGTCCTCTAATGATTCTCACTAAACTTATTTATCCTACCCGAGGATCGAACTCGGAATCTCCACCTTAGGAGGGTTGCGCCTTATCCATTGGGCCAGCAGGGCGATGATTCAACTTCCGATCATGTTGATGTCTGTGACTGTTCCGCCGATTACATGAGTGATTACTCTACCTCTCGAAAATTCCTTGATGAAAATTTTGCGAAAGTTCAAAGAACACGCGCGAATTTGAACCGAGGACCTGCTGATCTGCAGTCAGCCGCTCTACCACTGAGCTACACACCCATGCACACAATTTGACCAGTCCTCTATTTGACCTATTTTCATTCAAAATTGCACTCCTCACTGTGTCGTTTACAGCCAGCTCAATCGAGTCGTCCTCTAATGATTCTTACTAAACTTATCTACCCTACCCGAGGATCGAACTCGGAATCTCCACCGTAGGAGGGTGGCGCCTTATCCATTGGGCCAGCAGGGCGATGATTCAACTTCGGATCGTGTTGATGTCTGTGACTGTTTCGCCGATTACATGAGTGATTACTCTACCTCTCGAAAATTCCTTGATGGAAATTTTGCGAAGGTTCAAAGGGCACGCCCGAATTTGACCCGAGGACCTGCTGATCTGCAGTCAGCCGCTCTACCACTGAGCTACACACCCATACACACAATTGGACTAGTCCTCCATTTGACCTATTTTCATTCAAAATTTTACTCCTCACTGTGTCGTTTACAGCCAGCTCAATCGAGTCGTCCTCTAATGATTCTCACTAAACTTATTTACCCTACCCGAGGATCGCACTCGGAATCTCCACCTTAGGAGGGTGGCGCCTTATCCATTTGGCCAGCAGGGCGATCATTCAACTTCCGATCATGTTGATGTCTGTGACTGTTCCGCCGATTACATGAGTGATTACTCTACCTCTCGAAAATTCCTTGATGAAAATTTTGCGAAAGTTCAAAGGGCACGCCCGGATTTGAACCGAGGACCTGCTGATCTACAGTCAGCCGCTCTACCGCTGAGCTACACACCCATGCACAGAATTAGACTAGTCCTCCATTTGACCTATTGTCATTCAAAATTTCACTCCTCACTGTGTCGTTTACAGCCAGCTCAATCGAGTCGTCCTCTAATGATTCTCACTAAACTTATTTATCCTACCCGAGGATCGAACTCGGAATCTCCACCTTAGGAGGGTTGCGCCTTATCCATTGGGCCAGCAGGGCGATGATTCAACTTCCGATCATGTTGATGTCTGTGACTGTTCCGCCGATTAC